ATTTCATTGGAGCCTTAGAAATGGATTAGGGACAGGTGTACGTGTCCCATCTTAACTAAAAATTATATGGTCGGCAAATCAAATGGAATCTGATAATTAGCTTTATTATTAATGGTGCTAGTACTACAATTTTATAGGGCTATTTTCTTCCTAATCAATTATCTGTTTTGACTCTCCTGGCTTTTGGTGCTTCACATGTCTTCAATTCATAATAAGATAATATAAATATTGACTAACTTAACACAAAACAAAACATCTAATGACCTTATTAGTTATGAGGTTAGTACCTAATGATCGAAACTTATCAAGAACGATACTAATAAAAAATAAATTGGACCATAACATGAAATTGTACAATGAGTAATAAATATGATAACTTTCCTCTAGCAAAAGCAAGGAATTTTTTTTACTACTGGAGGTAAATTAACTACTCTCTCCATTTTTTTTTAATGTCTTTCTAGAGAATTTATCAAAACCAATAAGATATTAATTAATGTAGTTAAAATACAAAATCACTCTTTATTAATTGTCTATACAACTCATCACAAACTAATAAAAATTCCTTATAAATATTGTTTCATTTTCAATACAAAGGTAAGTTTGGTAAAAAGTGGTCAAATGTGCCTCGATTTGTGAAAACGACATATATAAAAAAATTCACCAAATCCTAAAACGACATATATTTCAAAATGGAAGGAGTAATGATCACTGTGTACTAATTTCTAATTTATTATAACGTACTCCCTCCGTCCCATAATTATTGTCCACTTTGTCCAAAAAATTTTGTCCCAAAATTATTGTCCAATTTAACTTTTTATGGATCAAGTTACACATTTGTCCTTAGTAAAAAACATTATCCATAAAATCTTTATGGTTAAACAATTACTTATGTTGGGGTATATCCGGTTGTTTAAGGTAAAATATAGTTAAGTTTGACCAAAAATAAAATTTTTCATTTTAGTAAAACTGGAAAATAATTATGGGACGGAGGGAGTATAAAATAGTGACAAATATTGAAATATCACAACGACATGATAGTGTGTTTTAAAATATTTAAAGCCTTCCCTTTAGCGCCTTTAGGGCATAATAAAAATCATATACGTACTATAGTTTTAAAAAAAAAAAAAAATGAAAAACATATGAGTATTATGGTAGGCACAAATACAAACACAAACCATATATATACATGGAGAACTAATTTTAATTTTGTTACACAAATGTCTTCCTACTACTATACATTTTGTCTCATGTAGTCTCATGTAATACAACCAATACCTTGAATCGCATACAGCGAAGCTGAAATTCTCGATCTCATAATGACACTCTTCTGCTAGGTATTAACACTTGAACCAAATCCCTGTGACCATCTATCTCGTCCAAATTAAGATTAAGAAATAATTGGATGGACTTACCTTTCACAAACCTTCCCCTTGGATTATAGTTTAATAAGTGGGTGCATTATTGCTTATAAATAATTTTTTGTTGACACTTGACTTAAGAACATAGGGATAATGTGAAATTGTGAACCTTTTTCTATGTAAAAAAGGACTTCATCATCAAAACCAATTGGAAAAACGCATGCCACTTGTCACAAACTTACATCTTCCTCGTGTTATAGAAAGTGACCTTTTTTTTCTTCTTTCATTTTCCCTCAATTTGAGCGCTAGAAGAAGTCAACCTAATGTGTCTATCAATGAAAAGAGAAAAGTGCTGGTGGTCAAATTTTTTATTTTTACTATCAATCATGCAAGGGCCGTGCATCATGTCTACTTGTTTATACTTCTTTTGATATTAGCCATAGGTTTTTCATGTGGCCCTAAGACACCGTTAACACTTTACCAAATTTCAGGTTTTAATTTTCTCTTAATTACTCTCTTTGTCTCAAAATTATTCTCCAGTTTAAGATTTCATTTTTAGTACAAATTCAACTAAAAATAAAACTCAAACTGGACAATAATTATAGGACGGAGGGAGTATTTGAAAGTCTAGTTTACTTCAATATATAGATGTTGCTTTTGTTTTCAAAAATAAAGAAAAATGAATTCACTTCAGTAGTCTGTAGATTTAACAAATTAGTTAGACTCCGGTTGAGTCATTTAGACAGATTAAAAATTGAGTGTAACACACATATTTGCTCAATATACGAGCAAGATAACAAGCCGGGGCATTTTTTCTTTTTAGGGTTAAATGAGTATTTGATCTCTTAATGTAAAAAGTTAAAGTATTCTTTGTAGTTTTTTAATTACTCAATAACATCAATTGTCGTGATTAAATCCATGAACAACTAATCATTCAAATAATAAAATTAAAAATCATTTTTGATAGCAGATATTTTTTGTAATCAAATTGTCTATAAGATACCCGAGATTAATTGTATTTTGATACTTTACTCTATTTGTCTTGAACTGATTGTCAAATTTTATTTTATTTTATTTTATTTTATTTTATTGGATGTGATAAAATATGAAGAAATCATTTGGGGCCATAACATTTGTCGGCGAAAAAGTTCAAATTATGTTACCTTGAGGCTTAAGAAAAAGGTTCATTTCTGATATTGTTATAGGAGTACAAATTGATAACCGATTTTTTTCCCAGGTAAAACTAAAAATCCCAACGAACATAAATTATCTCATTTTCTTTTTATATGTACTTTGTGTAATTTATGATGATATGGTACATTTAAAATTTTGAAATACAATCTGCAAGTAAAGTTATCATTCTTTGCGTGAAACATTTTTATGCACATCGACTGTGTTCAATAAAAGAATTCCGGACAAAATAACTCATCATTAATCCCTTCTTATCCGAATCGTCAGCAAAATATCCAACAAAGGTTTTCGAAATTGTAAAATTACATGTACTATAAGATAGCTTATCTACTACTATCTACTTACCGAAATGAAGCGATTTTCTTTTTCTTGAATATTTTTTTTCCCGGTATTTACTTGTATAAGATAACACAATCACATAAATATTAATTACTAACCAAATAATAATGAAATTACACATAAGCTCATGACTTAAAGATTCATTAAGATATGCATGAAGGATTTATCGCCTCCTCAACTAAATGATTACTCAAGGTTTTCAAACCATTGATCAAATCATTTAGTGAACAAAACTACAGAATTTTTCCACGAAGCTATATATTTTTTTGTGGTTTTAAGTGTTATACTGTTCTAAGTAGTATTGGTAAAAATGATCCAAGTGATGAAATTATCTTCCTCTCTAATAATTTTTTTATTTTTTTTTTAGAAAAGCTTTTCCTTGTCTATCTCAGTCAATCCAATCTGGTCTGGATTTTGGAAGTTTGAAAATGGAAAAGTAAAATATTTATTTATACTATTCCAAAAATCTCAGCCATTCGTTAGATTTCTCGCGAAAACACATGAAAATCAAGCAAGCAATTCCTTGTAAGAATATCCAATAAACTTGTGACTGATTATGATTGCACGCTATTGTGAAAAAACAAATAAATAAAAAGGATTGCACGTGATACAAAGAAAAATTGAATATCTTTGTTTCTCTTTTAAAGGACAAACTAATTAAAATCAAAATGAAAAACTTAAAAGCCCACACTCTATAATATTTGCTGATTTTTTGAACGAGCAACATTTTTTTAGGATAGAAAATTATTTGTAAACCCCGGAAAATGATAGCGGAATCTCAAATTGTGAAGCGATAAGTGAATCTATAAATAATTAACTTTACTTTCTTTTTCTTTTTTTTTTTTTGAAGGGAAAAAGATGTGATACATGCTAGTAGAGTTTCTGGCTTTTCATGCATTTACTAGCCGGTAACACTTGACAATTTCACCGTTTTTATCGTTATCCGTATAAAATTCATTATCTGTATATAACAAAGTGTAGGTAACATTATTTTTGTAAGATTATCAGTAATAATTGTTTGTTTATTTCCTTAAAGCTCACCCTTTGTTAGAGTTCTCTATGTAAAATTTTAGAAATCAAATTGAAATATCACACAATCATTACTGATAATCCTACGAAAATCAGCCTTCCAGATTCACTCTCCCTGTACGAAATATTACTACCTCTATCGCAGAAAAACCTTCCATATTTGAAAATGAAAATCTTAAAATTAGATTTATGAGATTGGTATAATCTAAAATTAATTATTAAATTGATAAATTTTCATGAAACTTTATTCAATTTGCAAGATTAAGTAATCTAATTTAAATATTTTAGTTTTTCAAATTGAGTTATTTTTCTGGAACATAGATTCAACGATTCAGTCACCAGTTAAAAATCATTAAATTACAATTTTTACGAACAATGACATTGCATAAGTTTTTCTATGTTGGATATGTCTATCGGATGAGCCATACATAAAGAATAGTGTAAAAATTATGTATTATCCCTATAGAGAAGACTAAAACAATCAACAGAAGAAACAAAAAAAAATTCCAAAAAAAAAAAAGAAAAGAAAAGAAAAGAAAGGTGATGAAGTTGATATGACAGACAATTAAAAAAAGAAAAAGGGAGCAAGATCCATTTCCTAAAAAAGTGGCAAAAAAAAAAAAAAAAGATTCAATGGCAAAAGAGAAAGGCATAAAGGTTTTGGCGCTTCTATAAATACGGATCAGAAACAAAGCCCAAACTCATTCATAGTTCAAAACTCTCACACTACAGAAAGGACTCCATTCCCTGTAATAAGTCTCTCTGTGATCTCCTCTTCTTCCTCTCCCTCCAATCAAATCTCCTCCTTAATTACACCAATTTTGTAATTTCAATCCAGATAATAATCCAATCTTAATTAGTTTTATTCAAATATTCCAATCTCGTTTGTTTCTTTTTTCTAATTATAATATCCTTTTTTTTTTTTTTGGAGGGTCCTTCTTCCTCGCCGATTTGTCATCTATTTCCTCCAACTCTCTGGACTCTGTTTTTTTTTCCCATCTAATTATAACGACTCTTCTCTGTCTTATTTGACATCCAGTTTTGGGAGTTGATTCGTTACAATCCTCCAAACCCAAAAGAAAGAAAGAAAAAAAAAAAGGGAAAAACAAAACTAAAAAAAAAAAAAATAGTTGGAAAGCTTTCCATTGGAGGAAAGATCACAACTTTCAGAAGAAAGTTCAGTGCTGCTGGTGCTGATGCTGTTCATGTTGCTGTCTATACTACCCTTTTAGAACAGTTTCTTCTCCAATTTCAGGTCCCTTTTTCTCTCTTCTTTTATGCATGATTCATGATTATAGATTAATGGGTTTCCTTTTTTTTTTTTTCCCTTTTTGTGACGATGATGATGAAATCTGTGCATTTTTTCTGGTTCTTCTCTGTTCATTGATTATTTTCAACGTTTTGTTTCTTTTTCAAAAAAAAAAAAAAGAAGAAGAAGAATAAGGAATGTGAAAGCTAATAATCAGGCTTCTGCATTTATCATTTATGGGGTGGCGGTGGACTGACTGACTGACTGACTGATCATCATCATATGCCTGCTTCCGATGCCATTGAATTCTTGATTTCTGACTGTGTTCAATTATTCTGGGTTTGAATTTTCTTTGTGGGGATTAAAATTTTTTAGCAACCATAAGAAATTCTGGGATGGATAAAAGAAAAAAAAAAAAACGAAATCTGGGTAGATAATTAATGAGGTTAATTACAAGTGTAATTTAAGCTAAGTCCATAATAAAATGGGGGCTTCCGAGAAGGAACGAGGACACGTGAAAAAATGAATAGTTTTAATCATCGTATCATAATCGTGTGACAGTTGATCTGATAGGAATCCGTGACAAGTTAAGCCTACACTCTGACGTTATCAATTTCACACAACCCTCACTTTGGTCTCCCAAAACAATTAAAAACAGAGAAAAAAATTCTTTTTAATTATGTTTTCAAAAAATATTATTTCTTTTCCGTGTTTGGAGACTCCCTTCATCCCATAATGAAAAAAAAAATGTTTATTACTATTGAACAATGAAAAACATTACATAATTTTAAAACTTTATTTCAATTTATTTGTTTTTATTTTTTTTATTTTTTCCTCGCTCCTTCTCTCTCAAAAAAAAATTCTTTGTTTTGGAACGAAAAGAATAACAAACTATCAGTTACTAATTATTATTGTGGAAAATACCACTAAACTTAACTGAAGTGGACGGTTTCCTTCTAAAACTCTTAGCTATAGCCACACCTGAACTTGTGGTGAGCTTGCTACTAATCCTTAAAATGGTGAAAAATTAAATTAGTTAGGAAATGAACTAAGGTTGATTGGGTTGAGGTTTAGTTAACAGTTATATGATGTAATTGATTGCAGTTTTTGATATATAAAATAAAATAATAACAACAACAACCCAGTATATTCCCAACTCGGTTAGGGTCTAGGGGTCAAGATGTACGCAACCTTATCACTGTATATTAATACAGAGGGACTGTTTAAGTAGTACGACTCAAGATGCATTGGTGCATTTATGTATTGATTTCCGATAATTTCACCAAATTAAGAAGCGCCGAAATTTAGATGAGCCATTTTGATCTAATCTATTATTAGCACAAAGTTGAAAAGATTGTCAATGATGACTCTTCTAGCTCTATTTGCAATGGATATACATAAAATAAAACAACTACTTGGAAAAAATTCAGTAGACGTGCCTTACTTGATTCCCCAACACAGTCATCAAATAGGACATTTAAGATAAATTAAACAAAATTTTGTCAAGTTAGTCAATATATCTTCAACATAAATTTCGAAAATACACTCCTTGTTTGCTAGTAATATTTTGCAAATAAAAAACAAAGTTGGCATACTTTTCTGGAAAAACATATGGGGAGCCGTGAGTTTGTGAGCTTCTGAATGAATCTGCTGTCTGTTTGACTTAATTGAATTTGTTAGTTAGATTTGGTCTTTTTTTTAATGTTAACTAGATTATTATTTATTGTGAAAGAAGACCAAGATACTGCTTAGCAGAGATTGATTCCCTGCATTATTATTGTTACATATATATTTTTTTGTTCTTTTGTTGTGTCTAATTTGGATATCACTACTGACATTTTTTCTCCATTATTAACGTAAGGTAGAAGAGGACTTCGCACAGTTCTGGATTTGTCGTCACCGTTTGTTCACTTAGAACGATTTTTTACTATATATATATATAAAAAAAAAAGAAATTTCTGTTCTACTTTGATAAATGTCCACTGCCCGAGTCATGACCTGCATCTGGAATTTTTTTTTTTCATATTTCTTGACTTTATGTATACATTTGCTTGTATGGCTGCTGCTGAGCGCATTACCAATCTCACTATTTTCTTCTTCTTGTGCTCTCACCTCAAACTTTGATAACGACATGGAGCAGTAACACGATTAGTTTTTAGCTTATGTGTCCATTTTAAAAATCAATATTTATAATATTTACTGACGGTAAAAAATGTGACATTCAGAGATCTCTGATAATTTTGTGGTATTACATACAACTTAAATTACTTTTTTCTAATGTTACAATTGTTAGCCAAACAAAATAAATTGGGTGCATGATGGGTTGTCTATTCCATACCCCTCTTGTAATGTGAATATTACTAACATACAGGAAATTGACCCAAAAAATTGGTTTTAAAAACTTGACTTTTGGTTTTGAAGAATGGACCAAAAGAATCAATTGGTTGACAAGTGTGTATCTAATTAGCAAATTAGGGTATCATTTTTCAAAAAAAATCATCTTCGATTTGTTTTGGAAAATAGGGTACAAGAATCTTGCCTTTTGGCTCTGGGGTCCAATAAAAAATTATTTGGGGGATGGGTATCTTCTTCTATCTTGTAGCATCTTGTACTATTGGTATCATTCATATATACCTTGTATGAAATGGACTTGACATCTATTCTTGGTTTTAAGGAACAGTACTTGAAATTTTGCAATTTTTGTTCTTATTCTTTTAATGCTTCCAATTTATGATTTTTTTGGGGGGTTATTTTTCTTTCTTTTTTCTAGTCTGAACCTGAATGTATGTGACAGATGGAGATGGTCACAGATCTTCTTTTTAGTTTGGAGTGGTAAGAGGGACAGCTGCAAATTTAACTAATAAATTAATCAGTTGCCCGCCACTGATATAAAAGTTTGCACTTCTACATATGTACTAAAATTTGCATCATCCGATTTTGTTGGGCTCTCAAACAATAAAAAAAAAAGCAGCGAAAATAAAATTCATCTCTTTTTTGTCCCACCAAAATTAGCCTTTTTGGTTGAAAAAGGGGACCTTTTCTTCCCCCTCCCCAGGTGCTGTTTCAGTGCTGATTTTTTCCAACAATTTATTCTAGTTCATGGACTTAATAATCTGAGAAATTATTTTAGCGGTTGGTTTCTTGTTTGTGCTGCTTTCACTTTCAAGATTCTCTTTTGCCATCAGATGATTATAGGGCCTTTGGTTGTAATTTGTTTATTGATATGCCAATGTGCAAGTTCCAGAAATTGCTTTTCTTTCTGTTGGAGAAGCCACTGTTCGGTGGGTTTTTTTTTTATGATTATTTTTTATCCCCCCATTTTCTTTCCAAGAAGTTGCACCATCAAAATCCTCTGTTTTCTCGTGTTATGAACTTTATTGATAAATACGGCTGAGTTTTTTCATACCACCAATGTGTTTCGCTTTCTTTGTAGAATAGAATAAAGATTGGTTCTTTAGTTGATGGTTCAGTTGATTTGATGGGGATATAACTTTCTCTGATAATGATGCAGGCTTGGAGAAAGATTTAGTGGGTTCTAGTCAGTTTTGGGTGTTTCTGCAGCAAAAAAAAGAAAAAAAAAAGAAAATAAAAGATGGCTCCCAATGGTACAGGAGCATGTCCACCTCCCATGAAAGCTACCTCAAATGGAGCTTTCCAAGGGGACAATCCGCTTGATTATGCACTCCCTTTGGCAATCTTGCAAATTTGCCTCGTGGTTGTTCTGACTCGGGTTATTGCATATCTTCTCAGGCCTCTGAGACAGCCACGCGTTATTGCCGAAATCATTGTGAGTTTTTTGTGCCCTTTTTGCAGATTCAACTTTCAATGTTCTTTAGGTTTCTGAATGATTCTATTGACCAAATCATCATATTCTCCATACTCGCAATCACATTACATGACAAGTGGTATGGAATTTTTTTTGCCTTCTCTGCTTATTGTCAATGACTCAATGTGATGCTATGATTGGTCTTTTTGACATGCAATGCCTTGATTCCGTCTTTTTATTTTTTATTTTTTTCATTTTTGTCTGGAGTGATGTGGATAACTTGCCTCCAGATGATTTTTTCTTGTTCTGCTTTTCTCAAGAAGACTTTAAATGTGTCTCAGAAATTCACAATGACCTCTTTTCAGATGATTGTTCTCAAACTCTGTATATCAGGAATCACGTGTATGCTCCAATAAAAGTAGGAGTATTCCATTAGTTTTGACTGGACTTTAAGTTGCAGAATTTTGCCACCAGGGAATATCTCTTCTGTTGTGTCATTTGAGTTATCGAATAATTTCAAAGAGTGATATGATGTCTTCCTTCACTATTCAAGAAAGAATTAAGAACCAGAAAAAAACTCTTATTTCAGAGTCTGAAACTAAATCTGATCAAAACTTTTGTTTGAGGCACTAAAATTGAGAAAAACTTGCATGTATCCACTCTCCGTATCTGATCCTTGTTTTACGCTGTTATGGAGTTTGGCTTGAGAAGCCTTTCTTGCTCTCTGTGTCCACGAATAATTGAAGATGAACAGGACATTTTCTTAAACTTGCACCATTGCTTCCCAGATTCCAAATTACTGAGTCAAATGGCATTTTGTCTGTAAATTTTGACCCTCTTATGTAGCATGAGATACTACTAGGAGATAACAGATGGCATACTACTCTTAATTCATATATGCTCTGGGATTACAACAATCAAATGCATCTGGTTGAAATTAAATTAACATAATTTCTTGAAGTTCAACTTAGGTATTTGCAAAAAATGTTGACTGATGCCTTACTCTACATAATGCAGGGAGGAGTACTACTTGGTCCCTCTGCAATAGGCCGGAACCATAAATTTCTAGAGACAGTGTTTCCTAAACGGAGCCTTACTGTCCTGGATACACTGGCCAATTTGGGCCTTCTTTTCTTCCTGTTTCTTGTTGGCCTTGAACTTGATCCAAAGTCACTTCGCAGGACTGGAAAGAAGGCCTTGAGCATTGCTCTTGCGGGGATCACTCTCCCGTTTGCATTAGGAATTGGGACTTCTTTTATTCTTCGAGGATCTATTTCAAGAGGGGTTAATGAAGGTCCTTTTTTGGTGTTCATGGGTGTTGCCCTTTCAATCACTGCCTTTCCTGTCTTGGCTCGTATCCTCGCTGAACTGAAGCTCTTAACCACTGATGTTGGCCGTATGGCCATGTCAGCTGCAGCCGTCAACGACGTGGCTGCATGGATTCTACTTGCTCTTGCCATTGCCCTCTCAGGTGTTGGTCGTTCTCCACTTGTTTCGCTATGGGTGTTGCTGTGTGGAACTGGTTTTGTTGTGTTATGTGCATTTATTGCACCCCCAATTTTCCGATGGATGGCTAAACGATGCCGTGAGGGTGAGCCAGTGGATGAGATTTATGTCTGTGCTACATTATCTGCTGTTTTAGCTGCAGGATTTTGCACGGACTCCATTGGAATTCATGCCCTATTCGGGGCTTTCGTGATGGGAGTCCTAGTTCCAAAGGAAGGGCCATTTGCAGGTGCTCTGGTCGAAAAAGTGGAGGACCTAGTTTCAGGCCTATTTCTTCCTTTATACTTTGTCTCTAGTGGATTGAAAACTAATGTAGCCACCATTCATGGAGCTCAGTCATGGGGTCTTCTTGTGTTAGTCATTTTCACAGCTTGTTTTGGGAAGATTGTTGGCACTGTCCTGGTCTCACTCTGTTGCAAAGTGCCTTTGCGGGAGGCATTAACTTTGGGCTTCTTGATGAACACGAAAGGTCTAGTGGAGCTCATTGTCCTCAACATTGGAAAAGACCGAGGGGTAATTTACTATAAGACTTTTAACTGTTATACTTCTTCTTTTAAACGAAATCTGTGATGACTAATTTTTATCTGCTTCTTCTGTAGGTCCTCAATGATCAAACATTTGCTATCCTGGTTCTGATGGCACTCTTCACAACTTTTATTACGACACCTATCGTTGTATCAATATATAAGCCGGCTCAAACTGCAAGATCTGAATATAAGCTTAGGACAATCCAGAGAAAGGATGCTAGTGCTGAACTTCGATTGTTGACATGCTTTCACAGCACTGGAAATATTCCCTCGCTCATTAATCTCATTGAGTCTTCACGCGGTGTGGAGAAGAGAGAAGGACTACGTGTCTATGCAATGCACATGATGGAACTTTCTGAAAGGACATCTGCTATCCTTATGGTTCACAAGGCAAGAAAGAATGGGCGTCCCTTTTGGAGCAAGACACAGAGTTCTGATTCAAATCAAGTTGTAGTTGCTTTTGAGGCTTTCCGGCAACTAAGCAAGGTGTTCATAAGGCCTGCAACTGTGATCTCTCCCCTATCGAGTATGCACGAGGATATATGTAGCAGTGCTGAAAGAAAGAAGGTGGCGATGATCATCCTCCCATTCCACAAGCATCAGAGATTTGATGGGCATTTGGAAGTCACCAGGGCTGAATTCAGGCATGTGAATAGGAGGGTTCTTCAGCAGGCACCTTGTTCAGTTGGAATTCTTGTTGACCGTGGACTTGGTGGAACATCTCATGTAGCTGCAAGCAATGTTGATTACACCATAACTGCGTTGTTCTTCGGGGGTCATGATGATCGTGAAGCTCTCGCATATGGTGCACGAATGGCTGAGCACCCTGGCATCAAATTAAATGTGGTTCGTTTCATTTTAGATCCCAAAGTAGCTGGAAAAAGTGTCACTTTAGATATGGAAGACAGTGCAGGCCCGGAGGCAAGATCTGATGATGAAGAATTCCTGTCTAAATTCAAAGAGGATGCCAAAAAGGTTGAATCAATCACATTCCAAGAGAACATTGTGAAGGATGCAGATGAAACCGTTGCAGTGATCACTACCCACAGTCGCTGCAATTTGTTTTTGGTGGGACGAATGCCAGAAGGTCAACTGGTGGCAGCTCTAAATAAGAACACTGACTGTCCTGAACTTGGGCCGGTAGGTAATCTATTGATCGCCCCAGATTTTTCAACCAATGCATCGGTGTTAGTGGTGCAGCAATACCTCAGACAGTTATCTGCTGGTGCATTGGAGTCCCTTAGGGGAGAAGAATCGACCGAGGAATCAAGCTAATTGGGTTTTTTTTGGCATATAATCATTTTGAATCACTTGCATAGATGTAACTACTGCATGATTTTCTTGAATCGCGCTTCATCATCCCTATGATATCCAACGAGGAAACAGATCGCAAGACGAATGGTACATTGTTTATACCCCTTCTTTTCCCCACTGCTGTACTTACAGAAAATGTATATGTTAACTAAGATGGAGATGTATAACATCTCAGTGTCGATTCTGCGAAAAAAAAAAAAAAGAAGTTAAGCATTTCCTGAGTTCTGTTTATAGCTCTTGGATCTGTGTTTTTCAATAAAGATCCAACTTCACTATTCAGATCAGCTGTGTAACTATGAAGATGTTACATTTTTGTTCTCAGTTCAATACAAAAGTGTAAAAGTTGTTCATATACTTTGCTTGGCAAGTTCTGCCTCAATACAAATTAAAAGTGCATAATTGTACTTTTTGTTACTTCGGAAGTGGTGAAAAGTTCTCATTGAAAACCTACTCCCGTTTCTGCAGAAAAATAACTCCTTTCGTTCAACTAAAATGATATAGTAAATTGGGTTATTTTACTGAGATAAGACGGAAGTAGAAAAATATATGAAAAAATTAAAAATAAAATTGTTATGATAAATGTTAGTAACAGATTGTTTGGGAACTTTTGGGAATGTGAAATTGAAAATCTACTCAAATGCTATTTGTAGTTATAAAAATTGTTCATTTACCGTGTTAGGACAATTTTGTCCTCTTTCTCCTATTACCCTCTTTTTTCCCTCTTTTTCTTTCTTCTTCTTCAACACTCTAACCAAAAAACTAAAACCCCATTTTTTAAATTTAGATCTACAAAGATTTAAAAGTTAAAAAAATGGCAGATCGTAGAATACAACCTCGGAGAAGCTCGCCGTCTGCACCGTATGTTTTTTTTCATTAAAACACAAGAAATTAAAAAAAAAAAAATCTGATATAGGGTAGCCGGTGGCCCATGATAGGTAACCGGACCGAGGTCGGCTACTAAGGGGAGGTAGCCGAACCGAGACCGGCTACCTCCCCCTGTAGCCGACCTCGGTCCGGTTACCTACCATGGGATACCCGGCGGCCGCCCAAAGTAAATTTTTTTAAAAAAAAAAAAAAATTCTTGTGTTTTTAATAATTTTTGTTATGTTTAATTTAGTTATTGATTATATTTTTTAATAATTAGTTTGTTTAAATGAATAGTATTACTAATACTAAAAGTTGGTGTTCATATTATTGTGATTTAATTACATTTGAATAAAAAGTATTAATTAGAATTTTGAAAATAATATAGTTTTAATTATATTTGGTTATGTATTAATTAATATTAAATTTTATGTTTTAATAATTATTGTTTATGCGAATGAAATTTAATTTAGTAATAATTAGATATTTTATAAATTTAATCATAGACTTAAATAAATATTTTTTGTATTTTAATTAGGCATGTTTTAATTTATGTGTTATAATTACTTTTTCGTAGTTTTAAGCAATTAGTTGACCATCAATGTTTTACATATGTTATAATTATTTGATTATTTGATCGTAGTTTTAAGTAATTAGTTGTTATATTTTAAATATTTAGGGCATGTGTTTCTTTTTGGTACAAATTAGGGCATAATTTAAGTTATGTATTATAATTATTTAGCAATAATTTAAATAGGTTATAATTTAAAAAGGTTATAATTATTTGATTATTTGACTGTATTTTAAAATAATTATCTGTTATATTTTAAATAATAATTAGTGCATGTTTTAATTTATGTGTTATATTAAATTATATGTGAATTATTGTAATGAAGTAGTTATATATACTAATCAATGTAGGTTAAAGGGAAAAGATCGAAAAGACCAGTGGTAGCTGATTCTATATTGATTGTTAGGTCGGGTCCACGGAGACTTGACGAGATATTTGATCAGGCTAGTCCGGACTGGGAGAATTTCATTGACGAAGAAAATGTTCCGTTTGAAAATTCCGTTTGCAGTGCTGGCAATTGGGTTGTGACGACGCCAGTTAAGGGTGGGCCTCAAGACGGTTCTGTTATTCCCAGTTTTCTTGGGTATGTTGCTCATCTCTTAACAGAAGACTCGTGTAAAAGCCCCTTAGAAATGGATACAAGAATCACATACTTCAAGAAATTAATAGAGTGAAAGCACCTCCCATTCAATCAGATTTCGCAATTGCTCCATCACCCAATCATAACTATCCTTCGTTTCATCCTTGATAATTGCATATGCAATCAAAAAATTCTTATTGTTCACAGTGGTATCTTATACCTATTTGTTCCGTACGTAGTATCCATACCAATGTTCCACTTGTAGATTCTGAGCATTTGTATAGATACTGGATCTGCCAATAAAATATTACTCAACACATCCGAATCATCATCTGTAAAAATCACATAGTAGTGTTGCTTAGCGACGTGAAAAAACTGCTCCATCAAAGTTCTATCGAAACTCTCCAATTGCAACCTATCCTTGTAGTTGTATAACGTTTCTCAATTGAAGATAAAAATCGCTTAATAGATTATTTTAATTCAAAAAATAAAAATGATTAAAATATTATTCTAGTCATAGTTTCATTTTCTAATTCAAGTATATATTTATAATAACAGTTAGTATGGAAAATAATATTTATGAAATTGATCGTTACGACCATTATTCATTACTGAATGAGCAATTTGTGTAACTTTCAATTAATATTGAAATCAACTTGATAATTTTACTTGTTCATAACTGAAAAATAAATAATGTGTCTAAAAACACCAATTACATATGGAATTTATGATATTTATTATTTATTGTATACATATTCTTATATTAAAACATATCTTACGATACGATACACGATACGATATAGGTATCATAGATTTAGGTTTTCGATACGCGAGAAGTATCACGATTCGATAACTATGATCACCGCCATAATCTTGTAATGAAATATATCAAATTTAACAAACTTAAATATACATAAAAAATAACTAAACAACTACGTATATTAAATTATCTACGACATACCTAGTTAACAATTTATAATTTAAATTTGATTACCTTACAGAATAGTTAATTAACACTATATTAAATTTTATTTACATAAACAACATTTAATAACATATGATTATGAATCAACATATGCTAAATTAAATTTAATTACATTTATTACAACCTAAAAATTATTATTAATAAATACAATTCAAAGATGTAATTAACACTAAATAAAATTTTATTTACATACAACCATTATTAATAATACTCATTTAAATTTAATAAAATTACAAAAATGTAAACAACAAGGATTGATACTATTCATTTTAAAAAAAACTAATTATTAAAAAATGTAATAAATAATTAAAATGAATATAACATAAAAAAAATTGACGAAAAAAAATTCTGGTCGTGGGTAGCCGGCAAAACCGGCTACCCGTGGAGGTCTAGCCGACCCGGAACCGGCTACCCAAGGAGAGGTAGCCAGTCCGGAATCGGCTACCTGGGTATGAGTAAAATGGCTACTTCTAATTGGGTAGCCGGTTCCTCTCCTTGGGCAGTTTCGGGCTGGCTGGTCATCTATCTTGATCAGAACTTTTTTTTTTTAATATCTAATGTTTTTGGGCAAAAGAAAAAATACCAGATTTAAGCCCGAGCCTTCCGGTGGTTGATTCTCTTGTTCCGCCATTTTTTTAGAATCTAAAATGTTGTAGATTTGAGTTTGACATTTTGATTTTTTTTTGTTTTTCCTTTGAGAGTTGAAGAAGAAGAAGAATGATAATTTGAGGAGAAGGTTGCTCTTTGTAGTTGTCGGGGGCAAAATTCTTCTAATGACTGTAAATCATCAATTTTTATAACTGTATATAACAACGCCCATCCAAAATCTGACATGTGTGAGTATTCAGTATTCATTATAAATTTATAATTGTTCACACAACAAGAAAATTAGAATGTTTATTATACATGAGCGGCATCAATTACCATTAAAATAATTATATATTTCGATGTAATGTCACTATTATTTTGATCTAAAGAAAAAAAAAAAAGGGAAAAATTATTGGGAGTCAATAAAACTTTACACTTGATGAAAGATGATTGAGTGAAGTGTTATTTTCAGGCTTCTCTGGACTATAAATAACAAAACGTGAATTCACGTTCCAATTGAACCTTTTTCATCTGCCCCCCTCCAGAAAGGCAATTTTCTTATCTCCGACTTTCCATGGTTCCAAAACAAGTTCTCATTGTAAACAAAGTTTAAAATATGTTACGATGAATGGTCCTCAAAAAGGGACTTTTCTGGCAAAAAAAAAAACAATAAATAAATAATAAAGGAAAAAAAAATTTAATTTTCGAAATGTGCGTTTTACTAGTGTTTTGTGACACTGAAAATTAAAAATGCGATAAAGACGAGAAATAACAAAAAAAGGATGTATTTAATGAGGGAGTATTGGAGTAAGATTAAAGGAATGGAATTGATGAGATTGGATTTAATCACCAAACTTATCTCTGTATAATAAATAATACGTGTGTAAAATTCAACAGTGGATATGCTCCCCGAGTTCCACGTACTATTTATATATATTCGGCTCTGTTCATAATATTTTGATTTCTTTGATTATTCATTTTCCTCTGTTCCCTTCTCTAAGTTCTCTTCTGCAATCAATCACCACGCAAGGGGTTTAAAACAGGTACTTAAAAATTTAAAAATTCTTCGTTTCAATTTTCTTATTAAATTTTGATTCCAGTTGCTTTTTTACTGTTCATAATCTGGGTTCAATTTTTTTGACTGGTTTTCTTCATTCCCCATTCTGGGTTCCTGTCTGTCGATTGTCACTCCTTTTACTTTTTTTTTTTTGGGGGGGGCATTCAATTATTTAACCTTGATTATCGTACTAGTTTAGTCCTAGTAATTAGAACTATTAATGTGTTATCATTTGTTTTGTCTAATCCTAACAATCAATCATTTTTGAACATTGAGTTATGCCCTTCCACTTCCAGAGCCAGTACTGAAACCAAAGCACATTGTTTCTGTCATTGTGTTTTTAGTATGAGACTCCCTCTGTTTCTTGGTTCCAGGTTGGTTATTCATATTAGATTCGAGATAAGGAGGAGGGTTACGTTAAATTGACCCGTCAGCATAGAACTTTGTTACACCCAATAGTTTGTGTTGTAATGTCAAGAAAATGCGAATAGCTAGTCCCAAGTAATAGATGTGAATTTTGCCCTCTTCTTTTTTTTTTTTTTTTGTCATTTTGTATTACAGCCCGCCATGATGCCAAGTTGCCCGACTTGGATGCGTATTTGCCGTTGAAATGTATTAGATTCCGCCATTGAATTGAATAAGGCCTTTTTTGTTGACTTCTTATTTTCAGCAATAAATTATGTCATGTTGCCTGAAAAAAGTTAGCTGGATGAATTACAAGAAACAGGTTACCTGTCTAATTTTTCTGCAGATGAGGAAAACTATCACACAAATTTATGCATTCTCTCATTCGTTCGATCCTCTTGAAAAAGGATTCAGTGTACTTGAATGGTATATTTATTATAAGGGGATCTCCTTTCCTGGAAAAGGAATACAGCATTACCTCAGTTATAACTATAATCTAATCAAAAGTTCCTTGTACCTAAAAACTTTTTTGAGTTTCTGTCTTTTCTAGGAGCTTCTTCAAGTGAGGAAGTGCCTTTTTTCCTCACTGAAAATCCACCCTTCAAACTATGGCTCCAAGTGCTGGGCAAACATGCCCACCTCCAATGAAGGCTACATCAAATGGTGTATTTCAAGGTGACAATCCACTGGATTTCGCCCTCCCGCTTGCCATATTGCAGATTTGCCTTGTTCTTGTCATCACAAGGGGTCTTGCTTATCTTCTGAAGCCGTTGCGGCAGCCTCGAGTGATTGCAGAAGTTGTGGTAAGCATTTCCTTTTCTATCTTGTGCATTAGAGTGTAATGATCATGATGTTTTGTTGGTTCTTTTAATTTAAGTGGGGCTTTTTATCATAAGAGAGTTTATCTCATGATGTTGCTTTTTAACTTGCGAGTTTGATATGGACTTGCTCATTCTGTTTACTCAAAATTTGGAACTTTTTAGTTTGATGTGCCCAAAGATAAGAATAATCGCCCCTCAGATGCTTTGTCTATTGCTTTACAGCATGAAACTGTTGAATACTACTAAATTTGGAGATGCTTTGGGGATAATTGAATTCAGTCTGAAATCCTGTAGGAGATAGAATGTGATTTTAACCCAATTGACAATCATCCGCAAGCCAGGCTGGTCGAAGTTGGAAATCATGCTTAATTGTATTTGGAAACCCATGATAACCTTAACTCTGTTTGGTTGAGTGACTTTCTATTGTTATATGATTAGGGAGGAATTTTGCTTGGTCCATCAGCTCTTGGAAGAAGCACTAATTATTTGAAGACAGTTTTCCCTCCCAAGAGTATTACTGTACTGGATACTCTGGCAAATATTGGTCTTCTGTTGTTTCTTTTTCTGGTAGGGGTGGAGCTGGACTTTAAATCTCTGCACAAAACTGGGAAAAAGGCTCTCGGTATTGCCATAGCAGGGATCTCGGTCCCTTTTGGATTAGGAATTGGTTCATCATTTGTACTTCGTGCCACCATAGAAAAAGGTGTCGATGCCTTAGCATTCCTTGTATTCATGGGGGTTGCTCTTTCAATTACAGCCTTCCCAGTGTTGGCCCGAATCTTGGCTGAACTGAAGCTGTTGACAACTGATGTCGGAAAGTTAGCCATGTCTGCCGCTGCAGTCAATGACGTGGCAGCTTGGATACTGCTTGCCCTAGCCATTGCCTTATCTGGTGACAAGCTTTCTCCTCTTGTTCCGTTATGGATCTTCCTCTGTGGTTTTGGCTTTGTAGTCTGCTCAATTTTTCTGGTGTCGCCAATTTTTAAGTGGATGGCAAGGCAATGTCCTGACGGCGAGCCAGTTCGCGAGGTGTTTGTATGTGCTACATTAGCTGCTGTACTCGGAGCTGGATTCATCACCGATACAATTGGAATTCATGCAATGTTTGGGGCATTTGTCTTTGGAGTTCTCGTTCCTAAAGAAGGTGCATTTGCTGTCGCATTGGTACAAAAAGTCGAGGATTTGGTATCCGGTCTTTTCCTGCCATTATTTTTTGTTTCCAGTGGATTGAAAACAAATGTTGCAACCATCAACGGGATTCAGTCATGGGGTCTCTTGGTTCTTGTAATATTTACAGCTTGTTTTGGTAAAATTTTGGGCACATTCATCGTTGCTTTACTCTTCAAGGTGCCTGCTTCTGAAGCACTTGCTCTTGGTGTCCTTATGAATAGCAAAGGTTTGGTGGAACTCATTGTCCTCAATATTGGCAAAGACAGAAAGGTCAGGCTAATCTCTCTGTTGCTTACTTCTTTATCTGATCCATGAGAACTATTCTTAGGCTGTTTCTTTAGAATCGTTTGAAAGTGTTCATGTTAGTTGAATCCACAATCACAGAGTCACATCCACAAAAAAAAGAACAAAACATGAACCGCATGATTGATCCTTAATGTCTTCCATACTATGTAACAGTGATGCATTTTTACATCTTGTGCAGGTTCTGAACGATCAAACATTTGCAATCATGGTCCTAATGGCTCTGTTCACTACCTTCATCACCACTCCTCTGGTGATGGCTGTCTATAAACCCGCAAAGAGAATGAAAAAAGTGGACTACAAGCACAGAACAATAGAAAGGAAGAAGCAAGACACCGAGCTTCGAATCCTTGCTTGCTTCCACAGTGCTAGAAACATCCCATCCATCATAAATCTGTTTGAGGCATCGCGTGGCACTGAAAAGCGCGAAAACTTATGTGTTTATTCAATGCACTTGATGGAGCTCTCTGAAAGATCATCTGCCATACAAATGGTACAAAAGGCTAGGAAAAACGGTCTGCCTTTCTGGAACAAAGGTCGATACGAGGCTAACAATGTTATTGTTGCTTTTGAGGCATTTCAACAACTGAGCAAAGTTTCAGTCAAGTCAATGACATCTATCTCCTCATTCTCTGACATGCACGAAGATATTATCACAACTGCTGAGAGGAAACAGGCAGCAATCATAATTTTGCCATTCCATAAGCACCAAAGGTTGGATGGTTCCCTGGAAACAACCCGGCCTGAATACCGTGCAGTTAACAACAGAGTTCTTGATCAAGCTCCTTGCTCAGCTGCAATATTCGTGGATCGCGGGCTTGGTGGGAGCGCGCACGTATCTGCCAGGAATGTATCGTATCAAATTGTGGTTCTTTTCTTTGGAGGACATGACGACCGTGAAGCTCTTGCTTATGGAACTCGCATGGCAGAGCATCCTGGAATCAGTCTAACAGTAACACGTTTCACAGTGAATGCTAGAGCTATTGGAGAAATACACAGAATCGATGCAGATACTAGCGAAGCTTCATCCGATGCATCAAATTCACCCGATGAAGAGGCCATTGCTTGCTTTAAGGACAGAATTTCTGGAGACGATAACTCTGTCAAGTACGAAGAAATAGCTGTTCTGGGTTCGGATGAAGTTGTTACAACAATGCGCGGATTTAGCCGATGCAATCTGTTCTTGGTGGGCAGAAAACCTGAAGGTGAAGTAGCATTGTCTGTGAATGGAGGGATTGAGTACTCTGAACTTGGGCCTGTTGGGAGTTTGTTGATCAATCAGGAGGTGGTTTCAACAACAGCATCAGTTTTAGTTATCCAGCAATATCATAATCAGGCTCCTTAATATTTTGGGGGCAAGTGTAGATTTGGTTGATCATCCTTACAGTGTTGATTAACTCCTAGATACACTTGGAGACTGGATTGCATTTTAGTAGATAGTAGTAGCAACTAGGAAAAGTGTCGGTCTCCATGAAATCCTTCATCTAAACTTTTATAAGAGATGATGCTTGGTTATGTTAATTGGTCCTAAATAAGAAATGGAGAAAACTGCCTAAACGAGCCCTCTAATTCTATTATGTTATCTGGCTTTCTCATTGTTTTCAAATTATTTCGAGTTCCAATCAGGAATGTAACGGCTAATGGGTCATCTTGGGCCCAAAATTATTCATTATTTTTATAGGGAGGGAATTTTTTTGAAGGGACGTCTTTTTATCATCATGATCAAGATCATATCAATTCAAAAACCTTTTCTTTTCTTTCTTTTTTTTTTTTTTTGCATTTTTTTTAACAATCGAAATATTAATAAAATCTAGAACATTACAAATGCAAATACACTTGAAAGATAAGTTATTCGTAAAATATTATGATCGAGTGTTCGCATAATCTTTCTTGCCGCTAACTTTTGAAAGACAAGTATTTCTTTGATTCCCTTCACCTAATTTACAACTTTGTTTTTTTGCCCTTTGATTACAATAAAAATTGAAACAAGAAGATTGATTCGATGTATTTCGAAAATGATAAACGGAAGGGGACTAAGCTATATATGATGTTGGAAACCACCATTGAAAGGGATATAAATGAAACTCTATCAAAGTATATTAAGTTTCAGATGAAAGGAAATAATAATCGAAAGCGATTCTTTGAACTTTGTATTGACAAAATGGATGTATTAAGTTAAAAAAACTGGTGCTTAATTATTCCCTCAATCGTCCATCTCAATTTTTATGTCCATCTTAATATATATATACTCATTGATCACTTGATACATTTCTAAGGCCCTTAGATTTTAAAACTTCAAGTCACGAGGTCCTCAATGAGCGTTAACCTTAAAAATGAGTGAACTGTTCGTAGAATTGGTCACTGCACTTTCCAACAGTTCCACTATATATATATATATATATATATATATATATATATTGAGTACTAAGTTACTAAGATTATTTTTGGTTCCAAACAAAATCACTGAACTTTCTAAAAAGGTTATCGCATAATTATAAAGTCATGACTCATAAGTCACTTCGTGAAATTCGTCCGTTAAACGCGACAAAGGGACTATAAATTAATAAAAAGTTTCTTAAAATCAAGGGGAAAAAAAAACTATAAATCATCATCATGCTAGCTTAGGTACACCCGTAAAATTAGGTGTACATGGGGGACTATAAAATTATGCACTTGACAAAAAAAGTTTTCGGAGTGGTACTAATTGCCTGAAAAATTAATTAACAACTAATATCACATTAATGAGGCTTTGATCTATATATATATAATGTGTTCCATTAGTTTCATATGCATTTTATATTTAGCTATTACATTTTCAATACAAAAACAAAAATACACTCTAAGAAAACGTTAGAAACCGAGTGCAAGTATCTTTTTGTTGTGTCGGTCCTACATATATATACTATATACGTACCGAGTACCAACTCAACCAGGAGACTTTCTGCACAACGTTGTTCGCCCCCATTTTTCTGTTTGGCTTTATTTTTCAAATGGAATATCTTTTTGGATTCGCATACGAAGGTGTTTGTAGATGTGTGTTCGAATATTCTTGAACGCCCAAATATAAATCCACATGTGGTTTCACCTTAAAACCAATTGGTGATGAGGGGAGTAGCACATGAGTATATATATTGAATTCAAGTGTTTCTTTTTATGTAAATGGGACAAGGGAACATAAGGCCATTTTATTTCTTTCATTCATTTAACACACCTCTCTCAAGTCCAATGAACTTGAACGGGTAATTTTATATATATATTTTCAGTCTTGCGATCGGTTATTTTTCCAGATAAACGGTCGCCTGTTGGGCCAGTCAAAGTTCAAAGTCAAACCCCGGATTTCTTCCATAGGTTGACTAAAGTTTCAAGACCCAATCTGGGTCAGTCCACCTCGCCCCACAAGTCCCACAGGTCCGTGGATTAAAACCCGCTCTGATACCATTTTGAAGGCCCATATAAGTCCACATATGGTTCCACCTCAAAACTAATTGGTCGTGAGTGGGTTGGCCTTTAGAGCTTATAAACAGGTTACATATCATTCACGACACCAAAGTGAGATTCTATTTCTCAACAAATATGCCTCGATAATTGTCTCGAAGACAAGGCGTTCCTCTAATTTTATGAATTTTGTAAACAATTATGGAGAGGATTAGAAACGAATAGCAATTAATTTCTGTATTTAGTGTAATCCTAAATTATACGCGATTTGCGCAACTAATACACTACCGGAGTATACTTCATTTGTTAACAGAATTATCCACTTCTTTGGCACCAAAATTATTCATCTATTCTCCTCCGTCTAGACCATCTAGGACCGAAATTGAATTTTGAGATATTTAGTATGTTTGTTTAATTGTTGAATATTACTCAGCTCCAAGCCCATTGATTGAGGTGCAACCTAGTAATTTGTGGACTTCTTTTCGGGTTAATGTAATCAGTTTCTGAAATAAAATTTTCCGTTAACTCCATTCTTATGTGGTGAAGGTCACATGCTTTTATGATGCCCAACTTTGTGCTACAGCTTTTTGCCCATGCCCAACTCATGCCACTATTGTAAATCCCCTTTCACCTTTTCCTTATCAATATTACTGCTCACTACTGGCAATGCATGAAAACTCCCGCCATCATATGTAAGTTTGCCACTCATACTCTAGCTTGAATCATTGCACAAGTTCCATTAAATTGGCCATCCTGCGAAAGGTAAGAATATAAAAAATATCGCCAAAAAAGAAAAAGAAAAAAGGAAGTTAACTTCCATAACCGCACAAAACTCTTGCATATTTTACTGGTCTACATTCTAGAACCCTCATGTGTAAAAGGGGGAAAAAAAAATCTACCTCAATGAACTCCACTTAAATGTGGATAAAAATCCTCCTTATAATCCCTGGTGAGAATCAAACCCTGTCTATTATCAGAAAGGACAGCAAATTAACTATTAGTCTGTCATTCAATTCCCAATTCCCATGTGTATAAAGGTTTACCAACTGCATTGAGACATTCTATCCTATATAACTTGATGTGTAGAAACATTTAAATTTTCCGCAATACCTCCAAAACTCATTGAGGAGACGTTCTGGTCAACATTAATTGCCCCCATTTTTAGGTTCATTTTCCAATAGGCCAAAAAAAAAGTTATCTACGTAGTGGATTAGGTATGAGTAGACCTTGATTTCTGTATTTATTGTAATTCTAGCTTCTTCATCTTTTCGCTTTTTCTATATTTCATGATTGGTAGCAGGTGACCAATAAAGCGAGCCAAAGTTGCCAACTAACCGATTATAGTAACCAAATTGTTCCTCTATATATTTCCCAAGTTTCCCTCTCCATGCATAACAAAGAACTTGTGGAAAGCCATCACTTCAAGAATATAGTACGATCCAGCAACGTATATTAATTTTGGTCACAATGTCTCCTAAATTTTGTTCACTTCTTTTCATTCTTCTCGTAATTATTTCTTCCTTCATTAACCCTAGCCAATCCAGGAAATACCAGAAACATAAACCATGCAAACGTTTAGTTCTTTATATGCACGATGTGATGTTCGACGGTCACAATACCGCAAATGCGACGGACGCCATCATCGCGAATCCGACCAAGCTCTCCAGTTATAAGTTCGGAGAATTTGCGGTTTACGATGATCCGGTGACGGTCGATGACAATCTGTTGTCGCCTCCGGTGGCTAGGGCTCAAGGGTTCTATTTCTACGACATGAAGACGACTTATAATGCATGGTTAGCCGTTAGTTTGGTGTTCAATTCAACTGAACACAAGGGTACTATTACGTTCTTGGGGGCCGATATGATGGACGACGCCACTAGGGATATTCCGGTGGTCGGAGGGACGGGGGATTTCTTCATGACACGTGGTATTGCGACCGTTAGTACGGATCTGTTTCAAGGGGCTTCTTATTTCCGACTCAAGATGGATGTCAAGTTGTATGAATGCTACTAGTAGGGTTTAAGTGAACAACAAATTAAGTTCTTTTGTCTGTTTTCTTTTCTTTTCTTTTCTTTTTCTTTTTTGGGTATGTTTGATTTGAAGCTGTCTTGTTTGTGTTTCTTTGCTTTTTCACGAGCTCTTCATTTGGTAATTAATCTCAGGCTGGAACTTGGAATTCAAATGATTGACTGCACTTTTCAGAGAAAGGATATGCCTCTCTTTTTTCTTTTTTTTTTTATAAATTCAATTTTCACTTCAGTCAAGTAGAATTTGAGTTAGAAAAAAGCCAAGATCAAGTAGATCAATGGAATATTTAAACTGTCTTGCCTGTTGTCACTGATTAACTTGAGCAACTTTTTTTTTTTTTTCAAAATCAAATAAAGAATAAAAAAATCATGATTGATTAAGAGATGTGTAATATATATAGATTATCTTAACTTCTCTAAAATTGTTAATGCTCCCTCTAATTAATCACGTACCATGGTTATGTGCAGTCTTGCTGCTGGCCTTTTAAAAGTCCAACTGTTTTCAAAACATGATAATTATTTTGCAACAAGTAATAATTTTCTTTCCTCTCATTTTAATAAACTCTCCAAAATGAATGGATGATTAAAAATGGATCGGAGAGTAACTCAGCTTTTTCGTTCTATTGGATTGGGGGATAGATTGTGGGTTCGTTAATCTAAAATTTTCAACCAATCACAATAGACATTCTATCTGCTTTTGGAAGCATGCATGCTATATACACCGAAGTTACTAGTTAATGGAACAGGTGCAAAAATTGGTACTATTAGAACTCAAGAATCCAGAGAGTCATTTAACTTTGACCTTTAAATTATGCATTCATCATGTAATAGCTTGTACATATACATAGAATTGCTTCTCTTTTTCTTTTTCTTTTTTTTTTCCGTAGCCAACTGAAAAAAGTTTATCCAAAATATTTTATTGCTTTTCTTTTTGGTCGCCTTCTTCAGTAAGCTAGTTGCCTCACCAAATTGATAGCATACCTAAGTTAATTTGTTCTTATGAAACGATTCTCCCGATTTAAAACAGAAGATGAAGTGAATTAAAAATTTTAATTCAACAATCATCCATGATCAGGATATTTGTTGAAAAACAAAGTTTCCCGAGACATATTTTTGTGACTTAATTCCAAGTACTCGAAATACTAGTTTCTAAGACCCTAGCTATGAACAAAAGGAAGATGGGAGAGTAAACTTGCGTGTAAGGGATCTACTAGATGAGGATTTTCACTGGTGAACATCTTTAATTAATGCAATGTTTCCTCCATATGTAGCTAAAATAATTTGAGCTATGTATATACCTGCTGCAAACCCGGAGCTGAAAAAAGACAAGAAAATCTGGGCAAAGACAACTTCAGGGGAGTACTCGATAAAATCTGGGTATTATCAAGCTCTGAATTTGAAGGAATTGGACTGAGCTACTATTTCTAGAGCAGCTGCAAGAAACATGTCAGAAGCGCATGGAAAAAGTTTTGGCACCTCAAATTGCCTTCAAAGGTCCGTTCAATGGTTATTGTGGAGAGAAACAACAAAGGCACTGCCAACGTTAGCAGCTCTAAGGAGACGGGGCATAGACATTCTAGATGTTTGCAGTAGATGTGGCACAAGAGTGAAGAGAGAGACTGTCCAACATTTATTATTAGATTGTGAAGAGTCCAAGAAAGTGTGGAAATGTTCCAGTCTGGGTTTCAATTTTTTTTTTTTTTTTTGTTGAAATGTAAACTTTGTATTAACTTCCTTCACAAGTCATATGTACAAGACTATCCTCTATTACATACAATCAAAGAACTAGTTTTGATTCCAATCTTTTCCAAAAATCGAATGTCATCATTACTACCTTTACGACAATGAAATTCAACTTGCCACTTTACCTCTTGCTGTATTATCTCCACTCGTTTACTGGCTGCCATATGTGAGCTTCCAAATTTCCTGCTGTTGCGTTCAATCCACACATGATACACTGCCGCATTGATACATGCCTTTAGCACCCGCTGCCTCATTCTTCTGAACATCCGAACTCTTTGAATTCTTGCATGATTCAGTACTTTTACTTCAGTAATCATCCCCAGCCATTTCTGCAACCCTTCCATCATTTCTCTTGCATATTTACACAGAAAAAACAAGTGTTTTCCTGTTTCATCTTCCTCCTGGCACAGAACACAAGTTTTGTCAGTAATCTGGACATGGAGTTTGCTAAGTCTTTCCACAGTCAGCAGTCGGTCTTGCCATGCCATCCAACTAATGAAACTGTTTGGGAAGGCTATATCTGCTCCATATGATGCTAGCTTCTCTGAACTGTCCTTTTGGTCCCCTCAACCACTCATATCCTGATTGAGTAGTATAAGGTTTTTCTTTATCTCCAGTCCATAAGCCATTCTGCGTACCTCCAACTCATATCATGGCTGGATGATTGGATCCTGCAGGCGGCACCAGACCCTGAACTGATACAACTTTCTTTCTATATGTGCTGGACTATATGGTTGGACAGGAATGATTGCATTTGGAAACATCAACGATTTCTCCAATGGAATTGCAACACAAAGCCTGGCATGGAGCTGCAACTTTTCAAAGCTGCCACTTCTTTGACAGCTCAACATCGCCAAGCTCAATTGAGTGAGTCTACACCACAACCATTGGCTCGACAACCAGATTTTTTTGGTGCGGGTAGACGGGGCTTTTAATAAAACAAAAAATAAAGGAGTTGGGGCGTGGGAGGTAGTTGACAAATAGGGCAAGCAGCTTTGGTCTAGATATAATAAGTTCTATGCTAGTGCTCCCTTCAAGCTCAGGCTTTAGCATGTCTGGCGGGTTTTAAAGCAGCAACATCTATAGGTTTAGCAAGTTGTGCAATCCAGATGGACAATTCAACAGTTGCAGGTCTTGAAACTCATGTGGCAGCTCTCCCATTTCCATTGCAGCAGCTTGGGAGTGATATTTTGGCTCTTAGAGATTGTTTTTCATTTTGTGTGTTTGAAAAAGTAGATATGTCTATAGTAGAAAATGTTCATCGACTAGCTAAGTCGGTGATTGTCTCTTGTATGTTGTAACTTTATTATATTTTCTAAATATAAAGGTTTTTTTTTTAAAAAAAAAAAGTAATGGACAATATGGATTCGTGCCTTTTTGATCAAAGTTATGCTACCAAATGGAAGATTTGCTCAGTAGGATAACTCAAATTGCCCACAACATATATATATATATATATATTTATATTTATTTTAAAAAGACAAAATCATAAACATTTTAGAGATAAGTTGATTAGGAACCAGTAGGTACATTTGTATCTACTCTAGTTCCACTAACGTTTGCGATTGGTGGAATGTATATCTCTTTAGTCAAAAGATTGATGGACTACTTGCTAAGCGACCCAAACTAACCCTATTATAAAAACCAACATGATTTCTCTATAAATTTTCGAAAAAATCACTGCAATTCATGCATGCATTACCACAAAATCGATCTTAAAAAAGCAAAAATTTGTCCTTATATTCTCTACAAAAATAGAAAGAAATATATTACAACATGTATCCTAGATTTTCTTCAATCCTTTTCATCCTTCTTGCGATTTCTTCTTCCTTTGTTGCTCCTAGCCAATCTAGGAAATTCAATGCAAACAAACCATGCAAGCATCTTGTCCTTCATTTTCACGATATCATGTTCACCGGCCACAATGCAGGCAATGCAACGGCGGCCGTCATAGCCAACGAGACCCAACTTTCCGAGACTTACAAATTCGGAAAATTCATCGTTTTCAACGATCCATTGACGGCCGACAGCAGCCTTCAGTCGCCTCCGGTGGCTTGGGCGCAAGGGTTTTATTTCTACGACATGAAGACGACTTTTAATGCGTGGTTTGCGTGCAGTTTGGTGTTCAATTCAACTGAACATAAGGGCACCATTAACATTATGGGGGCGGATATAATGGATGCTGAGACGAGGGATCTTTCGGTTGTTGGAGGGACTGGAGATTTCTTCATGACTCGTGGGATTGCTACACTTCGCACTGAAGAAATGGAAGGAGTTGCTTATTTCCGTGTTCTAATGGATGTCAAATTGTATGAATGCCATTAGAGAAAACTCAAGTTGCCAACACTTTAATTAAGGCCGCATGTCTCTTTTGTGCGTGTTTTTGGGTGTGTTTTGTTTATTTCGAATTTCAAATATCGGTAAATTGTAGACCGTCATTGTATTGATTATTTCTTGTTGTTGCTAGTTTTGTTTATTTTCGTACTTTATAAAAAGTTAATTTTCTTGGGACAGGAAGAATCTCACATCCATAGCAGTAAGTATCATACAATACGTATCATATCGTATCATGATACGTATCATAATTGTTTGTGTATCGGTCAATCACCGACACGTATCGTACAATACGTACGATGCACGATACAATTGTGTATCGTATGATACAAAAACATAGGCAAAAAATAATTTTTTCTTAAAAGAATTCATATTGTTGTTTCATAATGACCATTTAAATATCAATCAGAGTGAATTTATTTTACAAATTTGTTTTAAATAAATGCTTTTGATTTGTTCACAAACATAATCTTTCCCAATTGACGATAAAATCGCTTAATAAATTATTCTAGTTCAAAAAGATAAAATAATTAAATATTATTTTATTCATAATATCATTTTCTAAATCAAGTATAAATAATAACATGTTGAATAAATGTAATACATGTTTATAGTAATTTTCTCCTTATTAATTTATGGTTATAATAACAACTATTATGAAAAATAATATTTATTACATAGATTGTACGGCCATTATTCATATAACGAATGAGTAATTTCTGTAATTTTCCAATAATCTTGAATTCAACTTAATCAATTTATTTTTTTATAATTGAAATTTTTTCTAAAGAAACATAAATATATCAATTATATACGGAGTTTATAATATTTATTATTTATTTTATGCATATTATTATATTAAAATGTATTTTACAATACGATACAAGTATTATAAATTTAGGTTTCCGATACACGATATGTATCATGATTTGATAACTATGCTTATATCGCTCTTGTAAAAGATCTTAAATCAATATAAAAATTTCTTGGATCATCTTATTTATTGTTAATTGGTTTTGAGGAAAATGTACAAGTTGCAATTGTTTTTAATAAATTATTGAATTAATTAAAATAGTGATCTGTTATTGACAAACAACTAGTAATACCAACATAGTTTTGTTAACGTTTTTCAATATATTTTGCTTATCATTAGTAGTTGAACTGTTGAACAAATTAAATAAAACTTTTAAGGTATTATGCATCGAAGATTATCATTAGTGGTTTTCCATGGGAATGTTGATGCATCGAAGATTACAAAAACAAAGGAAGAAGAAAAGGCCAAGCAACCGTGCAACTGATGTTGACTTTACTTGTCTCCTTTCCACTTGAGTAAAATCGGACGAAATGTAATTGACCAGTGCCGGGCGGCGGGCCCTTAAAGAAACTATGTTAACGGTCCTAATTGAGAGCCAAATTAATTAATAAGTGTAAGTGTGTAACTGAGACAAAATTAATTATTAGCCAGTAAATTTTATTTTATTTTTCTAAAGAAACATAGATTGTTACATTTTTTTTTTAAACCGAAGGAATAATTTAAATAGCAAAAAAGTGTCGCACATTAAAGGGGATACAACTTATTTTTATGTAGAGGTGGTATAATAACCCAAAAAAAAAAAAAAAAATCCTTTTTGTTCGATCAGTGTCTTGTAATCTCATAAATTCATAATCATAAGCAAACATCAAGTCGGACAACACAATACAGCAGCCTAATTCTATCACTCTCCAAATCTCAATATATTAAATACCAAATTCCCATATTCATCTTTCCATGCCTACCATTTTTGTAACTTATCTCTGTCTTTTCTTATGCTTCTTCACCAACCGAATTACAGTTTACATTTGTCACTCTTCTTTCCAACAAGCATGCATCAATAGTATATCCCACGAGTAATTAATACACACACATATATGTTCCTCCCCAAGATGAAACTTTATAAATTGGGTTACCGTACTATAGAGAAATTAAAATTCAGAATTCTCTTGGCCTAAAAAGCTAGCTTCCTAGTAGCCTAGTTATTATTGAAAATGAAGAAATACAGTTCTACAATTTGCCTACTTCTCATTCTTTTAGCAATGAATATAATTGTCACGCATGGTAACCCAAGAAAAATAAAACCAAACAAACCATGCAAGCATTTGACAGTATACTATCACGACATAATATTCAGCGGGAATAACGCTGCCAACGCTACCTCGGCGGCTGCAACGAATCCGGCCAACGTAAGCGCCACTAATTTCGGGATGCTGGTGGTTTTCGACGATCCGATCACGAAAGACGAGCGTCTTATGTCTCCACCGGTTGCCCGAGCACAAGGGTTTTATTTCTACGACATGAAGACGAGGTACAATGCTTGGTTTGCTTATACTTTGGTGTTTAACTCGACGGAGCACAAGGGGACTATTAATATTATGGGGGCCGATATGATGGCGGAGACCACCAGGGACTTGTCGGTGGTTGGTGGCACCGGCGACTTTTTCATGGCGAGAGGAATTGCTACGTTTCGGACAATGGAAGTGGAAGGTGCTGCTTATTTCCGTCTTCAGATGGACATTAAGTTGTATGAATGTTACTAGATCGAGGATTAATGATTAATGATTGTTACTTTAATTAATGATTCATGATGAATTAAGGAGGGATACCAAGGAGATATTAATTCGCGAGATCTAAGAGCAAAAGATATTGATAATAAAATAAGTTACTTTAATTGAGAGGATTAGTCATTATTATTATTGTTGCGGTAGATGTATACCATGAAATTTATGAGAAAAAATAAAAATAAAAACCAATTCAGTTACGATATCATCTCACCCTTTCATATCAGTTATTTATTAGATAATATATTTTTTACAACTGGTATACCACGTCCTATCCTACATCTAAATAACTTAATCTAAATGTTATATTTATGATCTATTTATTTTAAAGTTTTTGGATATAAAAATATCTAAATAGCATAAATCTAAGAAAAAATAATTAAGTTAACTTAGTAAATTTAAACCAATAACTAAATAACATGTAAGACGAGATACAATGATAAGATAAATTAGGTGATTATATATCATTTTTTTTAGGTGAATGTATATCATTAATTAGTCCCATGAATAAAAATAGATTATATTAGGTGAACATTAGCTTCTTTGCCTTGTACACTGTTATCTTCGTCCCCAAAATATTATTCAGTTTAGATTTTTTTAACTTTACTCTTAGTGCTTGAAGATATCAGTAACTTATACCTCAATGATCCTGAAAAAAAAAAAAAATCTCAACGCATAGGCCATCAATACATAACTCAGAAACTAATACTCTATCCAAAGTCACAAGCCGGCCGGCCAACCCAAAGGATACTCACAGTTTTGTACACGGTTTGGGCCTAATCCCGCAAACATCGGTTATTGGGTTGGCTTTTATATACTCTTTACGAAAAGCTTTAGAAAAGTTTCTAAGCATACAAAAAAGTTAAGTTTAAGTTGCATAATCCATCATTGGCCTAGTGTTGGAATGCCTATAAGAAATGATTTTATATACTCGTTTTTTGTCCAGTTATCTCACCTCTGGAAGTGCGTACACTTTAGTGAAGGATTAATGATTGTTATTAACGGCGAACATATAATAATGTGATATTAAAAAAAGACAGAGAAAAAACCAATTTTTTTTCATTAAAAAATCTAGGATGCATGGCATTAGTGGTCCTCCATCTTCAATTTACTTATGTAACTAATCCCTGAGCTCTCTTCGATGCCCCTACATTGAGCACTCGAGTTGGAAGGAACTCACTAGCTCTCTATACTGAACAGCTTCTTTGTTTCGCTATTTTGCACGCTCTATGTCGAATGTTCGAGAACATCAGCCTATTTATGAGGCCAAAACATGATATATGATTTTTACTCTCTCTTTGTGATATCAATTAACATGTGCCTTAACTACTTACGAATTAAATTAAGTTTCCCTATCATTTGAAGTTTCGATGTTAGAATTAATTATAAAGATGCATACATGTAATAATGTGGCAGAAATATAAAATAATTAAGATACATGTTAATATTAAGTACTCCTTCCGATCCTTAATATATATATATATAAAAGACATTTTTATTTTATCCTAAATTTCACCTAGTACACATTTTTAATTGACGGAAAAAATCTTAAATATATACTTTCACATTCGTTGTATTCTCTTTATTGTTGTGACATATTTTTAAGATTTTTTTGTCAATTAATAATGTGTACTAGATCAAATCTATGACAAATTAAAATACTTTATATTAAGAATAGGAGAGAGCATTAACTAGTGATAACTTAAATGAATATAAAAAATGACATGAGTTTGTGGCTTCAAGTCTGCCAACACCTTCAGCAAACTGAACCAGAATAATTTTTTTTCCCAGTTGGGTTAAGTAGGTTATTGCATCCTGAACCCCATTTTCATTCCATTTGTGAGAATTTGATCGTCCCCACTTTGACAATGGGTTGTTCAAGTGCGTTCCCACAGTTCCACTTGCCAATTCTGCATAATTATACCCGAGCTTTTCTTTCTTCTACTCCCTCTCTCTCTCTCAAAACACATAAAATTTTAAAATCATATTCCTTCTGTCCCAAAATTATGGTCCAGTTTGAGATTTCACTTTTAGTACAATTTGAACTAGAAATGAAAACCCAAACAGGACAATAATTATGGGAAAGAGGGAGTACTGTATACTAAAACAGAATCCCTTAGAAAAGTCCATTATACCCTTTTCCCACCCATTTTACCTACTCCAGCTGATGTATCATTTTCTGGTAATTTAGAATTAATTTTATTTTTCTATTTTACCTTCTTTTTGGATGACTGATGTGCCAAAATTTTTCCTTTTCTCTTAATTTTTTTAAATCCCTTTTTCTTAGTTAAATACTGCATGTAACATTGTTCTTTGTGTAATGTATTGATTTCCATGCTTTGTAATAAATAAATGCGCAATTAGATAATTTTTTTCACAACATACATGTTCCTTCTTGACTTTTGCATTTTCTCTTCCAATCCTAACTCCTTTCCCGTATTTTCTCCTCCCTCTTCTCTATCATATAAAAATAAGTTCTAACAAATAATTTGTGTTAATTAATAATAGTAAATAACAAATAAAGGTTGTATTTGTATACACTTATAAACATTGTTCATTAAGTAAAAATTATTTATTTTATTATTTTATTATTTTAAATTTACTTTTATAAATAACGCCGATGATACACATAAAATATTAATAGAAAATCCATGAGTACACAGGATTTATCTAGTACAATATATATATATATATATATATATATGTAGACAATTAACCCCCCAGTTATGTCACAAAAACTAATATCCATCCGAATTTTTCAGAAAGACAAAAAGCCCCCTTGACCACTTCAAATTAAAAATCAATCATCCAAACTCCAAAGACATTACAAGGTGAAAAAACCGTGATGCTTCCGACTAACCTTTTCAGAAAGGAAAAAAAAGAAGAAGATAAAATTGAGATAATTAATAGTCCTAATCATATCTTCACAGAACTCCCACTAGGATCCTCACCATAGATTTTTTTTATTATTAAAAAATTAGATAGCTCCTTAAACTGTCGACCTCCTGGTAATAACCATCCCCTATCTTAATCCCCTAACCACACCACCTAATCCTCACATAGATAAAACAAAATACACATCTAATTATTTGTCCCACCTTATAATTAGGTTGGTATTTATTTATTTATTCATTGCTCCTTTGACGAAAAAATTCAATCTTGTAATCTAAGGTAGCTTTCCCCAGAAAAAATAAAAAAAGAGATTTTTTCTCAATATTAGAATTCAATCATGTAGAGATATTGGAAGTGGAAGTAGAAAAGAAAGTGATGAACAGATTTAAACAAAATAGTTATAGGCGTAATTATTTTTTTGATAATTAAGATTTTTATTATTTATTATAATTGTAAGAGCTTTTTTTGATTTCACACATTTTAATTTGCTTATATCATACACAATATCCCACTCAAAATGGTAGAGAAGGGGCGTTTTATATGTTGATTGGTAGTGAAGGGAGCCTCTCATAGCTAATATCACAAGAAAAAAATCCTCTCTTTGAATGTGACTTCCAAAGATTGGCAAAATGGTTTAGTAATGTGGATGGAAACTCTTGTACACAGACAAGCCCCAATTACGAGGCCATCATGATCACAATCTGACTCTATAAATTGACCAATGGTATTGCTAATCGATTCAGCTGCTTCTCCTATTCATCAATCCATAGATCACGAATTTGTATCCAAAAAGGCACCCAGGAAAAATCCACTTTGTCGTTAACATCGTCTTCATTCACCTCTATAAGAACAAAGAGCACTTTCCCTATCATCCAAGGCGAACCCTGTTGAACTCGACGAAGATCCACTAGGGAGTTGAATTTAAAGAAAACTGTATTTCAACCTGCATCCATGTGGTTAAAACCATGCTGCACATTCCAGTAGTTACGGAAGTGATTCACGATTACGTATGACTGAGGAAACGGTCCTTGGGTGCTAAAACGCTTCCAACCAAACAATTATCAATGCCCAGATTCCTTCCAACTGTCTCAGACAAAGGGACCTTTTTCGGCTTATTCAAACTCAGATTGGCACACATTTCTTTCAACAAATGATCTATGGATGATAAAAGGCTTAACCGCACTCGAGATCGGGAAAGATGAACAGAACAGCCAAGTAAAGATCCCTTGGCCGGCGATTTAGATCTGTGAAAAACAACCAACGCAAAGAAAAAATAACAAAGAAAAAGTGAGAAAAGCAAGATCCCTCAAGATTCGGGGGATGGCCACTGTTGGTATTTTAATGGACACACATGATTTTTACAGCACTCTACTTGGTGAAAATGGTGCAACAGATACTGGTGCTGCAACAGCAGGTTCTATTACCGCAACATCAGCTAGTTCAGACGCCAGTACAACAACTGCAGGTTATGTCACTGCAACATCAACAAGTTCTGCCACCAACGCAATAACAACAAGTACTTCAGTGCAACATCAAGGAGTAGAATCGTCGACACAGCAACATCAGGGGTTGTCGACACAATATCAGGCACACCAATAGTATGTGTTGCCGGTATTGTATCAGCACGCGTCGCTGCAACATCAGTATATGCAGTGGATGATGCAACATCAATATATGCAGGCGCTGACACAGCAACATCGTATGCAGACGTTGGCAAGTATTGAGGCGTTAGAACAAAAGCTGAATTTGAGGGCGTTGCAACAGTTACAGTTACAGCAAGTAGTGTCGCAAGTACAGAATCTGCAGGTGGTGCAGCAAACTCAGCAGAGACAGGAAGCGAGTGAAAGCTCAGTTGGTATAGTAGATCAGTTGTAAGAAAGTTCTGTTACTAATTTATCGTCGACACCCGTGGGACTACCTAATGATTTTGATGCTGAATGCGGAAAACTTAGGGAAGGCCTGCAGAAAGAGTCTGAGCACACTAAACAAGCATTTTTCGATGCAAAGGAACATGTGTCGCAGTAATTAAATACAGTTTCAGCGAGCGAATCTTTTGTCGATTATTGAAACTATAATAGTTACTGAGCATTGTGAGCATACTGATTTGTTTTGCTTGTCTAATGAACCTGTCATCGTTGAAAGCGCGTCTGTTGAGGTTGATTGCAAGAAATCTTATGCGTCTTCTAGCAGCGACAGTGATATCGAAGAGATTATTTGTGACATCTGTGTCGATGCTCTACATGCAACTGATAATTTTGTGTGTCCAAGTGTCGACGTAACCAAGGGCGAATAGGAGCAAGGCCGTGTGACTGTACCTGATGCCAATTTATCTGTGACAGTTGAATGGCACAATGCTTAGTTACTGTTGTTCCAAAAAAAGCAGCAGTAGACCAACAAGTTGGAGTTTCTGATGATGACTTCCAAGATTAGCGGTGCAATAGTAGTGCCGAATTGGTCAATGATGTAACAGATTCTTGCCGGTTAAGTAGAAGTCTAACAATGCCCGGTTTTATAAAAAGAGAGGCTCTACCAACAGAAGAAACAAGCGGATAAAGGAAACTAATAACGCATGATTTTCAATTTGCAAAAAAGGTCGATGATGGTCCTCGATTACGTGGCATTGATTTTTTTTGGCAGCAACTCTAATTAAGCTTAATTAGATTATGGTGCTGCTGTAGAGTGCAGAGTTGATTTGGCTAAAGATCATGAATTGCTGAAATCCTTGATTTGCCAAGAAAAGAAGCGTTCCGCAAGAGATCAGTCGAAGATGCTTATACCTTCTATTATGTAGCCTAGCAAAATCAATGCATTTGAGCTCAAAGTTGTCAATGCTAACTCCAGCAGTATGTCGGCTAGGATTAGTAATGATGTGATTATCCAGGGTGTAGCCGACCAAGAGAAAAAGCCTGCTATTGAAGTTTCGACAATTGATGATAAGGCCGACGACGATCAAGAAGGTTCTGCTACAGATGCTAGTAAATTGTCGACAATTAATGAAGCAGTTGAAAGTATCAGTGCCACATCAAGCTCTCAGGTTCAGAATGATAGTGGGCACCAGAATTGTGTTTTTCAGCACATGAGGGTCAGTTACAGTAAGCTCATAAGGTTCGTCACTGCAATATTGGAAACCATACTTGGCGATGCAGTTTAAAACATTCTGGCATGACAGGTTGTTTTCGAAGAAGACATTCGACATCTCGCCGAAGTAAGTATACACCTCGTTTTAATCATTTTGCTTCTAATTTTACACGGGTGTCGTGTTATGTAAGTTTTTTAGCAGGTTGGCGCTATGTCGATCAGTGCCAAATGCTTATTTCTGGTGACATTGTGTTTTTCAATGTTCACATCTCATTTCATTCCATATGAGCATTCGGGGGCTTATGTTTGACCCCAAAATGAATTTGGGTTTTTTTTGACAGGCCAATTTGGTCGTCAACCGAAGTAGCAGAATATACCTAGTATTAGTCTTCGAATCGGAGGAGGATTGACAAGTGTTAACCAGTTTTGCTTGTTTCCTACGATTTATAGATAATATTAATTTGAAGTCCATATTAGATTGATGTTACCCGTGCTTATCAAAAGCAATTGATGTTTCATTTGGTGAAGGATTCCCACGTGAAGGCTATAAAATAGAAGCTTCTTGCAATTAAAGTGTTAATAGAATTCTTGCAAATTAGACATAGATTTATATTTTAATTAGTCTCTTTGAAGGGAATGATTTCACGTGGCTTTATTAAAGTATTTGCATCATTGCATGGCTTGCATGTGAAGATTAAGTACAATTCATTCACAGTTAGATTCTTACTTTTTTTTGAGATTTTATTTGAGTCCAGAAAGGAGTTGGTTTTCTTCACGAATAAAATTGCTACCGACCTTCTCCCAGTACCTATATATAGACAGTCGCGTGCAAGAGACGAGGATCACAACCAATTCATACATCAAGGCCGAGTTTTTCTTTCTTTTTTCGTCTTTTCATTCATGTATTTTATCATGCTTTCTTAGTTAGTATAAATTAAATAGTTTTTGGCTTATTTTCCTTCATAAAAATATGTATTCTTTCATCGTTTTCTACTTCAGTGAATTCGATTATCCCTGTAATAGCGTATTATCAACATTCGCCATACTTAATTGGCGTTACAAATCTCTTTTTCTCCCACCTTCAATGAATTCAAGGCCATCAGTTTGGCGTGTCTTGCTTCTTTCTCTATATTATTTTCTTATTATTATGAAATTGAAATTAATCATAAGTCCTCGATTCTAGGTCCGAGGCTGGTTTCGAACACATTCACCGTGTTTGGGTATTTTTCTGTCCCTTTTCCACGATCCTAGTGATAATTTTTGCTCGAACAGTATAAATTTAAAAATTTAATGTGAATTATTCTTTTGAAACAGAGATACCCTCTCCATTCTAAAATAAGTGTTATCCTACACTTTGCACATAGTTTAAGAAACTATTAATTAGGATAATAAAATTACTTGAATATCCTCAACTAACCCCATTAAAACAATGTCCACCAATAGTATTAATTCTTTTGAAGGTAATTTTGGAAATTTTGGACAAAAAATGCATTGAAATGTGAGAACGACATTTATTTTGAAATTTCTTCATTTTGTTAAAATGACACGTATTTTGGAACGGAGGGAGTAATATTTTCTTTCAATTAATGAGGCTGGACCAGTCACCTTAAGACGTATCTATAATCGACATGTATCTTCTTCCGCACAGTTTCGAGTCCAAAAGGATGGAAATTGGAAGAACAAATAATTAAACTACTCATTTCTTCCCTGGAAAGAATAGAATATCATTTTCTTCTTTTTTTTCGCTGATGCGCATTGGTCGTAGTGGTTGGTGAAGCAAACAGTCATTTACTCATTTCGGGGAGGGGGGGGGTTGGGGGTATATGACATAGATTAGTTCACCCGTAGTTTCTTGGGGTACTTGGGGTATGCGACATTAATGATTTAGTTAGTGGTCTTCCAATGTAGCAGTTCAATTTGATGTATATCACCCCCACACACACACAAATTAAGCAAATGAGGGGAACATGATCTCACTTAGGCCATGCATTAGATAAAAGCTTGAAGGTGTTGAAGGTCCAATCAAGATTTTAAACGTAACCATCCAAATAGTTAACGGGTATATTGACTTTGTGAACCACAAAATTAATGTATAACAATTCATTAAACTTTCATTAATATAGAATATCTACATTGTGAAGAGTGGTTAGCGAAAATGGTACTTTCTTACGTACCTTCAATATCTTAATTGTTCTTCAAGCTCTCGAATTCGATTTTTGGTTTCCAACCACCTAAAAAAGAAAAAGAAAAAGAGAGAAGTAGTAGAAAGAAAGAAAGAAAAAGGTTTCATTTTGGTCATCGGGGTTAAAAGAGGAGTGGACAGAAAAACCAAATCGACACGCGTTTGTGAGAGTCGAAATCCAAAAATGATATTTCCAATGTAAGTGCAAAAAAGTGAAAAACAAGGTGAGAGTTGTTGCACAGTTGCACTAACGCATAGGTATACGTACCATGTTTGAAGTCCACTCAATTGTAAAATCTTTCTACTCCATTCTAATTCAATAAGTAATATAATTTAAATATGCCTATTAATGATTAGAAGTAGTTACTAGTTAATATAATGAGATTGAAAGTTGAATTCAAATAAATGTTCTAAATTTTAGTAAGAACTTATTGGATGATTTATAGATAAAATTAATGTTAATGTCTAAAGTGAGCCTGAATTTTGAAAACTTTTAAAAAAGAAAGCGTCTCTATTGAATTGAAATGGAAGGAGTAATTTTTTGGTAGGTTGAATGAAAAAATTGTCTTCATGCTTATATTAAGACGTTTGAACTGGAACTCAATATTGAGCGGCTGTCCGTAATCACATTCTAGTTTTTGGTTCTTAGCTACCCACCCAACCCAAAATGATTACATGCATGCGTGTATAACAGCCAAATCATCATGTAACTTTAAAAACAGTTTCCCATCCAAAGGTAATTATAGTATTTTTATATAACACTAAATAATAAGCTTATTTTAAGACAGGAAAATGTATATAAGGCAAAGGTGCGAAAAAAGTTTGTACATATTCGTGGAGTATCTAGGCAGATGGGAAGGGTCGGCAGGGCTTTGAGAACAAGGACTAACTGTGCATAAAAGGAATGTTAAAAGACACCCACGGTGAATTGTTATTGGCTGATCATAGCATGATTTGCCAGCCTAGCTAATTCGTCTCTTATTTGAATCTTATTGTGATTAGTGAGTCCAAGTAAATTAATATTCAAAAAAGAGATGGAAAGTTGGGAACGAATAGATTTGTTTGGTCATGGTGGTTGGTGAAGCTACAGTAGTGGTTGGCAGCTTAAATTTGAAATAAAACGCCAAGAAGGTAGATATGCTTCATGATGGATTTCGCCAATTTCTCAGAAATTTCTTGGATTCTCGAAAACCCTAAAAGGTTATCAAAGGGTAATATCTTTGTCCCAAAATAAAAAATACATATATTAAAAAGGTCTCACTTGTTATATATGTTGTTTTAGTTTAGTAAACAATCTTTTTTTTTACTCATCATTTATTTATTTATATGTTTAAAGTTCAATATTTGTATCAAACTAAATCAGTTAGGGTTGTGCACTAAACCATCCAATTATCCATTAAAATTTTATTATTCAATTAATTCTAATTTAACTCTTATCATCCTATGAGAACTTTATCCATGACTATTCATTATACACAGAAAAAACTAATTTGTCTATCCACAATGTTATTTGTCATTGTTTAATATGTATTATTCAGAATGCCATTTTCTTAAATGTCTATTAAATAAGCATAAAATTCGATAAAGAAATTCAATATATGTATATGAAAAGTCACCAACCCAATGTAATGTGCAGCCCTATAAATAGGAATGCTTTGAGTAAGTTCCACTCACTCACTCGATCATAACTTTGCTCAAGAGCTAGCATAGTCAAACTAAGCTCCACAATAGCATTCAAAAATGGCGGCAAAATCCATTCTCATTCCAACTCTCTTCCTCTCCTTCCTTTTTTCCTCCACCATTTTTCCTTCTCAAAGCTTCAAACTAATTAGTGAAGCCAAACCATGCAAGGAACTCGTGTTCTACTTCCATGACATCCTCTACCTAGGTTACAACCGTGCAAATGCCACGTCAGTCATTATAGGATCTCCCGAGTGGGGAAACAAGAGAGCAATGGCTAAACCCTTCAATTTTGGTGATCTGGTCGTCTTTGACGATCCGATCACCATGGATAATAATTTGCATTCCACCCCGGTAGGAAGGGCCCAAGGAATGTACTCGTATGATCAACAAAACATCTATGGCGCTTGGCTTTCCTTCTCATTTGTATTTAACTCCACACAACACAAGGGTTCCATCAATTTCGCCGGGGCAGATCCATTGATGAACAAGACTAGGGATATCTCTGTGGTTGGCGGGACGGGTGATTTCTTCATGGCTAGAGGCATTGCTACATTGTCCACCGATGCCTATGAGGGAGATGTTTACTTTAGGCTCAAAGCAGATATCAAGTTGTATGAATGCTGGAAGTGACAGTAAAAAATGATACTAATGAATGATGAGGTTTGGAAATTATATATGCACGGGAATATGTAATGTTTGCATTTTAATTGAGTATTTGTACTTCTATCCTAGTGAGTAATAAGAAAATACTACTATTAAGTTTCACTATATTTGTATTTTGTGTTTGAAATGTTGGAGAAATTAAGGTAAAGTAAATCACGTCAATGTTTGTCACCGTTTCGCCTTTTCAAGAAGAGGATTCTTTTTCGTTTTCTTTTTTGATCAGTTACATCAAGTTGACGCAAGTCATAATTAAAACGATATTGCGGAACCCGTAAAGAAGCATGGAAAAGTTGAAAGAAATTCTTGAACAGCTAAACGTCATGGATCTTGTTTCAAAATTTCGCTCTCTCTCTCTCTCTCTCTTTTTTTTTTTCTAATTTTAAAAATTTTGTCCATTTTGGTTTCCATCACATTAGTGTGCATGCTTGGTGTTAATATTTTGTAATAAAGTTCCAATATAACAAGTTTCATCAAACAATTAACACATAAAAAACTTAGCTGAAGTTCACACTAGAATATTCCAAATTGTTTCGAAATGTATAGTTACTAGGGTCGTACTATTCCCAAACAAATTGTTCGCGCAATGACATACATCGCCTGTTTGGAGGTTGAGCGAATATTTGACTATGGAATCTTTATCTTGTTATTATTATTTTAATCATATATTCTTTCCCTCCATATATGCATAAGACAGAGTGTTTATATCACTAAGAAGAGTGATCACAAATAGCTACGTCGATAACAGGATAATTTATGAGGGGTTTTTTTTTTGCAGATAATTAAATTCTTAAACCTGAAATGATCGATACTCACTAAAATAGAGGATTGAGATTTTATATCTGATCTCCGGCCTAAAATAAAAGGTTGGATTATTTAATTTTTGAATTAACTAACTTTCTTAATAATGTAGGGTTTGGTATTTTTCCCTTATGTATTTCATCAAATCTGCATAATATTATTTACTGATTGTTCATAGCAGCATTGGAATCTTAACCGGATTAATACCATACAGTTTTATCTTTAAAAAAATATTTATTCTCGTACACATACAAATTAATGTATATTTGTTGCGAGGCAACAAAGAAATATGTATATTGCTAATGAACAAATCTTCCGTATAACGGTTGTACTAGGTCAGCTTGTGCAATCAAATATTCTTGAGGGGAGTCGGCTAGTTATACGGGAGAGAGGACCATATACGAGGTTAAAAAGTACTATTACTTGTTTTTGTTGGTTTTTTTTTTTTGGGGTAAAATATTTTTGTTGGTTAGTTGCACTAAAAAAGTACATTATTATATACAAGCAATGATAGAGATAGTAAAAAAATAGTGAAAATACATAGTGACTGATGTGTCAATAGTAATTAATGGTAAAAGGATAATTTTTGGGGAAAAGAAAAAATTTCAAGGCAAAGTGACGGCAAAATAAAGAGTACACATCAGTCACTATATTTTTTCACTATATTATTTCACTAAGAGTATCATTTTCACACACACACATATATATATATATATTAGATTTTTCTATTGCTAATAATAACCTGTAATCTTGTGATCTCGCTTTCTTTTTTTCAATAAGCTTTTTAGTACTGTATTAAGATCGGACAAAATAATGCTACAAGTATATTAGCCGTACTAGATGCTATAATAATGGTTACTAGATTCTATAAACTTCCTATTTGATGTCGACAAAAGTCTAAAACTTTCTCAAGTCTATTTTTGTCTATATATAGCCCAAAAACATCACAAGAAGGAATTTGTAAAATATTCAAAATTGCTTGAATATTTTCGCTGTTGAGTTTTGGTCATTTAGTTATTAGATTGCGTTGGATATCCAGCTAACTGTTTATATATAGGCTACCAGAATTCAGTCGACAAAGCAATACTCTCCGGTTCCTTTTTTTTTTTTTCTCGGGGAAAAAAAAAGAAATTGTTTACTTAAAAATCAAAAAATCATATTTAAATTCATCGATCTCAAAGTCCCTCCTCACAAATATTATGTTAAAGAACCTTCTCTATAACGTACATTTCATCTTGTTTTTCCAGCTCCAAAGTAATTGATGTACTCACTTTCTATGTTTTTTTGCAAGTTATGTACACTTTCAGACTTTCTATCTAAATTTATTTAAGAATTATTATGACTTAAGAATAGGTTTGAGGGAGTTTGAGAGAAGGAAAACTCTCTCCCAAGTCCCAATACTGGAATTCCCTAAACCATTAAAAAAGATCAAAAAAAAAAAAAAATCTCGACCTACACAATTCATGCAATTTGCTAGAAAATTTGCACTTAAGTCAAAGAAATTGAATAACTTAATGGGTCGTATTGCTTTATATCATCCCATGATTCCCATCCGAAAAGTCTTCCTTATGATTAAGTCAAAATGGACCTAAAAGTGACCTAATCACGATTCTGGTCCTATTTTAATCATTTTCTTCTGTCCATTTCGATCCAAAATTATTCTATCAATACAAATGGATTCAATGGTAATCAAATTATTTAATTATACCTTTTGCTTGACAAATTAGATTACAGCTCCTAAAGTCAGGTCACGACGTCATGTACCTACCACCACCATCTCTCACGTGAATTTCCGCCCAACGCCAGCTGATCTCAGAAGAAAAGTTAGCCAGGAAATTAATATATAAGAGAGAAAAGCAATGCATATAGGTTAGCTCTAAAGGCAATGTACATAGCACATAATGCATTTCTCTACACTAATTAATTTATGAAGCCTACTTTTAGGTTGAGAATTTTCAAATTTCACCTATAAGTCACCTACGTTATCATTTATCATTAACCAAAAAAAAAAAAAAAGTTAGCTCATCCCTTAAATTGGAAAAAAAAAATAAAAAATTGATCTATTTAAATAAGAAGAAAGCAAGTGTAATAATCAGTTCTCATGCTTTAATTTACTACTAAAGAATATCATTATACAGGTTTCTTTCCTTCTTTTTTTTTCTTTCTCCTTTTTTTCACCACTATCATCTTTTCTAATTCCTACCTAAATAAATTATAGTAACTCTTTTTATGAATCAACCCATAATCACTCATTAAGTCATGTTCCTAGATGCAGAGACTAAAGGATTCTATCTATTTGAAAATTAGTGTGCAGTGACTTAGAATCAAATGCATAAGTATAGTTTGCAAACTTGCAATCCTGGATCGTGATCCTACGATCCCAGGTATCTAAATTGATTCTAGATCGATCAAACTCAAATTTTGTAGTGGGATCGGAGTGAGATCGGTCAGGATCGGTTAGGATCGGTCAAGATCGGTTAAGATCGTAGGATCGGTTCGAATTTACTATTCATTAATTACAAAAAATTAATTGAGCTTATTGAAAATTTTCTTTTCTCTTATTTCTTTTGGTCTACATTCAATCGAGGCTAATATTCATTGAGAAAACTTTTATTGCTAAGAAAAATGTATTTTAGAAAGTTTTTCTAATAAAATAAAAAGAATAACTATAAGAGAAGAGCTTTCATTAAAAAGTTATGAAAAATTCACATATGAAAATTGAATTTATACAATTTTTTTCGTTTAAATGTTAAATATTTTATTTAAAGATAATTGAAACCTAATTATTAAAGTAATTAATTATATAACATGTATAATTAATTTTACGATCTTATTATTCCGATCTTATTGATCCCGTTTACGATTCAGTCCTATGACCATATTTCGATCTTACATAAGATAGCGATCCTGCAAACATTGAATTTCCAACTCTACAAATTAATTGGCAAATCAAACACGAGATCGCCATGTTCTACTTTTTCTTTCTTAAAAAAGAGTAAAGAGTAAGAAGTTGTCTCTTTTAGCTCTAAGAAAATGACTCCTGGTCCTGAATGCATGTAGTACTTAAAAATACGTGTAATAACCTTTGTCTTAAAGCAATAATTTTGGTAACTAACTACTAAGCATTCCTTTTAACTTTTGCACCCATTGCAATGGGTGAAAAGTCTGCTGTTCTGTGATTGGTGAATCTGGAGTCCGGACACCTAATATCGTCTTCTGAGTATTTTACTATTTTTCCATCAATCGTTCCCTCTTGTTTAACTGTTTATTATAATCTCTTCCCTCTAAATAAAATATTCACTTCATTGCATTAAAATAGTTTTCTGGGTTCTTTTTCACTTTGTTCCTTCTAACTCTCTCATCATCCACTAGTAACTATACTACAAAACACTAAAGAGAATCAGTAAATTACGTTAAACTTCATGTAATTAAAATATACTCCTTTCGTTGCACCAATATATATATATATATATATATATATATATATATATATATATATATATATACTCCTCCTTTCGTGACATAATAATAATCAATTTATTAAATGAAACAGTAAAATAAAGTGATACTCGGAGGGAATAATAGGTCATCATTCATTTAATTAATCTCTTCCAAAACTTATGAAAGTATTTCTATTTTAGAAACTCGTTGTGTTTCTTGATTTGCTTACGAAGCAAAAGAGAATTGATTAGCGGAGGATAATTAGCATAATTAATTAACTTAGAAGCCAAATGCATTCTAATCCAAAAGTTGGTCGTCTCTGATTAACCACATTGCATGTATACAACATATATACATGCATGCAATGGGTTGTCATTTCTCTTTCATACCCCGTATCTCTTTTATTGTCTCGAAAATACGCTTACTTAAGGCTAACACCTTTCTGATCATGATCAAATTAATCAGTGATTTGGATCATTATTCTTGCTTCTTCCTTCCCCTAATCATCAATTTCTTGCATGACACATCCCCATCTCATTTCCAACTACCGATATGGTTAATCTACAGTTACAGTTAAGATGTCCATATTTGACCATGAAGTATCAACGTAGTACATTACCCATTGCACCAAATAATTAGGTCAAACTTCGATTTTAAGTTACCGAAAGGTACATACATATATTGCCACAACATTGTGTTCAGCCTTTTTCCAAAGTTAGCATAAGTTTCCTTAAAAGCCAAGATTATAGAATATTTAGGACAAGTCTTAGAGTCGAAAACCACATTATAAAAACCCCCAGTTGCAGATTGAATATAAATGTCGATCTCCAAAATAGTTTTCTAACTTCCAAAGGTCCACTATCTCTAATATTTTACAGTTAGAAGAAGAAATATGGCAAAATCTTTTTTGGCTTTGGCTATCATTTTGTATTTCTGTTTATTTCAATGTTTTGCTGCCTCGGGTTCAATGAGGAAAGCCAAGAGAATTAGGGCTAGAATTCCATGCAAAACCCTAGTGTTTTATTTCCATGATATCATATATAATGGTCACAATGCCGGGAATGCAACGGCAGCCATCGTCGGAGCTCCGGCTTGGGGAAACATGACGATACTCGCCAGCCAAAACCATTTCGGCGACTTGGTCGTGTTCGACGATCCAATTACCTTGGATAATAACCTACATTCGACGCCGGTGGGCCGGGCGCAAGGGTTTTATATCTATGACAAGAAAGAGATATTCACGGCTTGGCTAGGTTTTTCCTTCGTCTTTAATTCGACTGAGCACAAGGGTAGCATTAATTTCGCCGGAGCTGATCCGCTGATGAACAAGACAAGGGACATTTCGGTGATCGGAGGCACCGGAGATTTCTTCATGACCAGAGGGATTGCCACTCTGATGACCGACGCATTTGAGGGGGAAGTATATTTCCGGCTTCGTGTTGAAATAAATTTGTATGAATGTTGGTAGCTTTTTCTCTTGAATATACTACAATTTAATTTCGCTTTTCTGTTCTTTAGTTTTGCTTTTCGGTTGTAATGTTTATTCATCTCTCTGGCTTTGCTCTACAAAGAAAAGAGCTAGCTTGACACTGAAGTTATTCAAAAGAATTTGATTTTTATTTTGGTTTGTATATGCTCAACTTGAGAAATCTAACTTCTTTCTTCTTTTTTTTTCCCTTTTTAAGAAGAAGAAGAAGAGAATAAATCTAACTTAGAATTCCTAAGAATTGTGAATTTAATTTGTATAAAGCTGCTCGCCTTCACCTTGCTCAAACTTTGAGAATTTCCAAGGATGAAAGAGCATATTTAAATTATTATCCAATACATTACGCGGCTAATTATCGTCAATAATAACAACAAATGACGGTGAAGACACAATAAATGGTGATTCGCATATGTTAAGTTCTGGTGCTTGAACTTCGGTACCGGAGGGTCAGAATTACAAGAGTGCTAGAACATATTTTTTCGCTCATAAACTCTCACACATTGTTTGAAAAACTAATTTCATTTATTTTTTAACTTGAGTGCTAGCTGAACAATTATCTTTTACTTCTATTTATTTACCAAAGTATCTAAAGAACAAAGATTAAAAAAAAAAATAACTTTGTCGGTTTTTGAGTTTTGATATTCTCCAATCATATCAAAATGACTTTAATTCGCCCCATAATTAGAAGGAAAAAATTAAATATATGCTTACAAAATAGCAATCCTTAAATAAAAAGCATGCTTAACAATTGAACTTTTTAATAGAATGATAATCATCAACAAGCTTAATAATATTGACGGTAGCTCATGTGATTTTCAAAATGAGCATTTTTTTTTTCCAATATAAATTGCAAGAAAATTTTACCCAAAAAATAAAACAACCAAATTTTATTTTTGCAAAGAAGTGCGATAGTCCTTTAGCGCTTTTGAAAGCTTCGTTTTCAAAAGAAACAGCCCATGTGACTTTTGGTCTGCTAAAATGAATCTGAATGAATATGGACTTATTTCTAAAAGAGGATAAAAGGCCCAATTCAATGAAAACCCTCTCAAGACTGTTCGACAGTCTCCTCCTTGAACCTGGGGATCAAACCTGACAAAATAGGGGAAATCGGAAACACCTCCTAAGATGTTCTTCGGTCGTCTGGAGGGTCGAACGACCATCTGACCCATATTTCTTTCGACGTTTAAATTAACATGTGTCTATACATATATTATATGTTAATATTTCTATCTCTATATATATCATTATATAAAAGTAAAATCTAGACATATATTATATGTTAATATTTCTTTCTCTATATATATTATTATATAAAAGTAAAATCTTCTTAAATTAATATTTTATTAATTAATAATCTTTATAAAATAATATATTTTTCCGGTTTCAACTCGCGTTCACGACAAAAAACGAAAAACTTTGATTAATTTATAAGAGAATAATTTTTCAAGAATCTTCAATACAAATATAGGTCCCATAATTTTATGAATTAATAAACACCTAAAGTAAAAAATTATATTTGAAAATTAACTCGAAGTTTAACTTAATTATTTTTTTATATTTGCAAATATCATCATTTTTTCATGTTAAAAAACTATAATAATGTAAATAGGGTTACAACTGACTTTTCTTGATGCGAAAATAATAATTTTTTAGATTTTTTCTTAATATGATTGAAAAAAAAAGTTTTGAAAAGTAATAAATTATTAATTTATTGATAAATTAATAACTTTATAAATTTTTTATTTTTAATTTGTGGAGTTTCCACTGTATATCCCTATATATATTGAAGGAGAGTTTTCAATCGGACATATTACGTAAAAATTAGACATGGTAATTGATGGGGGACCGAAAAAATTTAATAAATTAGGGTTTTAATCATTTTTGTCCAAAGATATTTTAGTCATTGTAGTTTAATCAATTAAGATTTATTTCTATTGTTTTTTATTTAAAATTTTAGCCGTAATTATACACTAGAGTTATTGAAGCAAAGCAAGACATGGAGACATGGACACCTATAAAGTGCCCAAAGACTAGTCAAAAAATAGTCTTCCTTCTTTAATAATTAATACCAATCAAGAAGCAAATGTGAAAAAAGGCCATAACTCTTTTATAAAAGGGGGAAAGATCAAAATTAGAAGGGAATAGAAATCAGAGAGAGGGAGTGACAGCCCCAGAAAGATAGACAGTTGAGAAAAGAGACGTGAAACAGTACGTAGAGGGCACAGGCATTGACTCGGGGAAGTGAAGGAATCACTTGCCCAAGTCACCAGGCATTAGTAATAGTGACAGATTTGTTTTCTTACTCTCTTCCTTTCTTTTGTTGTATTTTTCTTGTTTTGTAATCATGTTTTTTACTATATGGTTCAATATTGTTATTGTTGTAGTTAAAAATACGAGTAGCTAAGCTGTTTATGGGGTTTTAATACCTTGAATCTTGTTTTGGATGATATTTGTGTGTCTAATACTAGAGTTTGAATTAACCTTTTGATTAGTATGATCAACTAGAAAATTGTGCATACATGTTGTGTGAATGCCGGAAGGGTAAGCATGTCTTAGAACGTCTAGTAGCCGGTGACGAAGGGGTAACAGCTTGGGATTTCAAACAACATCGGAAGATAGTTGTCTGGCACAAGGCGATTATAAGGGCTTAGGAACTTAATGACTTAGTAGTATTCTTGAATTAACATCGGAAGATAGTTGATTTGTTGCTACTAAGGCTTTGTCTGGAACAATCGAAAGTGAACTTAAAACAGATATGTTCCTGATCGAATACAGTTTCATACCACAAGAGTAATAACCAGAATAAGAAGTTAGAGAGAGGATAATGGAATGGGAACCCGAGGACACTTAGCTATGTCAGTCCATCATTTTCCCAAGTCATCTGTTTCTCTGTTAGTTTGTTATCTTTAGTTGAATCAATTAGGATTATTAGAGTTTCAATTGTCCTTATGAGATCGACCCAACTTACTGTTATTTACAATTTTTAGTTAAAATTATTTTGGTGGTCTCGATACTCATCAAAAGACAGTGCCATTCATTTAATTTGATTTTCCCCCCTCCAGTTTTACAGCATGCGTAGAACGCGCGAGGCAACTACTAATATACTTAAAAGCAACTTCCTATTGTAAATGCATATAAAAATCAACTCATTGTATTGTTGGGGAAAGAAATTTTAATTGTGTATGGTATTTTAATTCAACATTTCTTTTGCCAAAAAGACACCTTCTGTCGTAAAAGAAAATATCTAAACTTTATGAGTAAACTTATAAAAAAAAAAACTTAAAATAAAACATTCTTCTTATATTTAAACTCAATCACTCTAATGCCAATTTCATTATGAAAAATTAAAATTTCATAGGTAAAGTTATGAGAAAATTCAAGTAACTCATTCTTCTTATATCCAAGTCCAATCACTCTATTACCAATCTTATTCAAGAATAAATAATAGAGAGTTAAAATTTCATGGTAAAATTACACAAAAATCCAGATAAATATTTTTCTTTAATTTAAATTCTAGAAAAATTAAATTATAATAATATCAACACCACTTAATTTTCACCCCCACTTTTTTTAAAGTCATTTTTTATTGTTGGCTTATTTTTGTATTTTATTTCACAATTAACAATTAATCAAGTATGTGATTTTTTTTTTCACAAGTAAGAATTGATTTAATAATATATTTTAACATATGCAAGCACGGGAGAGAACCTGTTTAATTAATAATCCACGGCTAATAAGCCAAAAGTTGGTAGGATTTGATTAACCACGTTGCATGTAAACAACACACATGCATCCAAGGGGTCGTCATTTAGGGCTAAAAGGTCCCTTGAGGATTTTTCACACCTTTCTAATCATGAACAAATTAATCGTAACATGGATCATTATTATTCTTTATTCCTTTCCCTAATCATCAATTTCTTGAATGAGACATCCCCATCCCATTTCCAACTACACACATGGTTAGTCTAATTTTACAGTTAAGATGTCCATATTTGACGATGAAGTATATATCAACGTAGTACACTATCCATTTAACCATTGCACCAAATAATTAGCTACAGAGCCCCAGACTTCGATTTTAAGTTTCCCTTAGTTAAAAACATTGCCTCAAACTTCGATTTTAAGCTACCTTTCCCATAACATTGTGTTCAGCCTTTTTTCAAAGTTATCATAAGTTATGATAGCATTGCCTCAAACTTGGATTTTAAGCTACCTTTCCCACAACATTGTGTTCAGCCTTTTTTCAAGTTACCATAAGTTCTTTACAATTTTTTTGGAAAATTCTTGGAGTCAAGAACCAAAGCTATAAAAACCCCTAGATGCAGATTGAATATAATGTCAATCTCCAAAATAGTTTTCTAACTTTCTGAGGTCCACGATCTCAAATATTTTACAAATTGGAAGAAGAAAATGAGTGCAAAATCTTGTTTGGCTTTGGCTATCATTTTGTACTTCTGTTTATTGCAATGTTTTGCTGCCTCGGGTTCAACGAGGAAAGCCAAGATAATTCCATGCAAAACCCTAGTGTTTTATTTCCATGATATCTTATACAATGGTCACAATGCTAGGAATGCAACGGCAGTCATTGTCGGAGCTCCGGCTTGGGGAAACAGGACGATACTCGCCGGACAATTCCATTTCGGCAACTTGGTCGTGTTCGACGATCCAATTACTTTGGATAATAACCTACATTCGACGCCGGTGGGCCGCGCGCAAGGGTTTTATATGTATGACAGTAAAGAGATATTCACGGCTTGGCTAGGTTTTTCCTTCGTCTTTAATTCGACTAAGCACAAGGGTAGCATTCATTTCGCCGGAGCCGATCCGGTGTTGAACAAGACAAAGGACATTTCTGTGATCGGAGGCACCGGAGATTTCTTCATGACTAGAGGGGTTGCCACTATAATGACGGACGCATTTGAGGGGACAGTATATTTCCGGCTTCGTGTTGAGATTAATTTGTATGAATGTTGGTAGTGAATTCCTTGATGTGGCTAATTAATTTTGTCTTGAACCATTAATTCCTCTTTTCTTCTTCTTTTAATTTTGCTTTCCTGTTGTAATGTTGATTCACTTCTCTGGCTTGCTTAGCAAAAGAAAAAGCTAGCTTGACTTGAATTTATTTTATTTTTATTTTTTTTTGAGGGGGGGGGGGGGGTGGGTGTTTGTGTGTGGAGTGGTGTTATTTATATCCTCAACTTTGAGTGAATGTGTAACTTAAAAGTTCTACTAAACAACGTATTTTATAGCTGCTTGCCTTCACATTGTTCATACTTAGAGAATTTCCAAGGATGAAATGAACAACGTATTTTATTTATCGAATATCATATGTTTTTAATTTATTGATCGTCAATAATTAAAAAAACAACTGATCTAGAAATATTGAGATCAAAATAAATAGCTAGTGATATGAATTTTTTTTCAAGGAGGTAGTAATATCCATCGTTAAATTCCGGTGTTTATTTCTTCTTAAGTTTAAACATGCATGCGTTGCACTTAGCTTAATTGCATGTTTCCTTTTTTAATTAAAGTGTGGATACAATATTTAGCCTAAACTTTTCTTGTCTTATACAAATACTGGCCCCAAAACTTTTAAATGTACACAAACATTACACCCACATAGAATCACTGAATTACAATGTCGACATTGGAAAGATCTAGCAATATATATGTTTAATTAATTCGTTGCAAAACTGGTAAGCAACTTTCATCCCGGTTGATACAAGAGATTCCATACCGATTACCACTACATAGATTGATGATCATGCAGCAAAAAGAAAAAAAGAAAAAAAGAAAAAAAAAAGCTAGAGATAGCAATTTAGCAAATTAAATTCACAAATTAAGTTAAATATTTTGGAATAAAGTGACATGGGTATCAGTTGGAATAGTGGTTAAAATTGATATTACATGGAAGTTTTGTGCCCCTTTCCCGCAAACAAAATTCAATTGAGGCACCTAACTGTAAATTCCGAAGAAAGAATAAAAAAGCGGTAAGAAATTAACGGTCTTCAACTGTCGCTCAATTCCGATAGCTTTATCTTTCTGCTTGATTAGAAATACCAAAATTCAGTTCCCCACACAATCAAACATTGGAGGTGGATAGAGTGAAAATGCGAAGCTTGATGATCCCATCTCAGAGGGTTTTGTGGTTAAGATCAACTTCAGTTACAAATTCAGCGGCTAATTCGTTGTCGTCTTCTCTGTTTCCGAGGGTTAATGGGGCGGCTTTCTTCAGTTCCAAGATCACTTATTTCGATCGGAATTCCTCTTCATCCAGGTGAAGTCTTATACTGCAAATTCAATTCAATTTGGATGGGAAGAATGAAATTCAAAGAAATTAGGGTTCTTTTCTGATATGTAAATTGTTGGCATAAAAGCAGGATTTCAGTGAAGAAATTGACAGACAGCATTGATGCCCAGGTGTCGCACAGAAGAGTTGAGAACGAAAAAGATGATGTTAGTACCCTTTCTTAAATTCATCTGTAATCTGTGCTCTTTCCTTGTATCGTTTGATGGTTTTTGAAAGGAATTGGCCGGCTTATCCTTTTCTTGTATTGTTTATAGGCCGGTGGTACTACATTTTGTGATTACACCACTAATTTGATGGCATCGGTTTTTAATTAATTTCCATTAATTGATTAATTGCTAAAATGATTTCTGTGGAAAATGTTGATTTAGTAGAGATAGTTTTCTCATTCCTCGTTGAATTTTTTTCCCCAGCTTTGGAAAATGGATAACTGAACAAATGAACTAAAGGAAAGACACTGCATGACTGTATGCATTCTGTTTGCGGTAGTGTCATAGCATATCTAGTGCTTTCAATCTTATTATAGTTGTTATGTCTAATGTCCTAGAGAAGTTTATTCAGCTAGTATTATCCCGGTCCTCGCGGTAGGAGGCTGTGAAGTATTGTTTAGTAATTCTATTAATCCGTTATGTTTAATGTGTGGTCCAGGAGTGCAGAATGATCAGAAGCGGCAATGATGTGAAGTTGAAAATTTTGCTCGAAGATTTCAGTGACTCAGTGAAATCACATTGGCCTATTTCTTATGAACATAAAAACTCAATGCTCTCATTCCTTCAGGGCATGAATATGCTTTCTCTCAATTACTTGAAATTTATGATGCTATGCGGATTCTTTGCCCTTCAAGGTGCTCCACAGGCCACTGCTGGCACAGATATTGCAAGTCTGCAATCAAGCTCATTTCTCGGTGACCCTGGTGATATTAGCACAGGTTTTGCTTCAGTTAGGAAAATCTCCCTTTAGCTTCCTTGTTTTGAAAATTTTGTTAATGTGATCAAAAACTAGGTAGGCCTAGGTGCATTAAACCTTATATAATAATCCTTTTGTCAGTCCATTTGAACTCTTAGCGTGTGCATTTTCATTTTTTAGTGTAATCAAGGGAATGTTTTATTGATTGCAGTTGTACTTGATCCATAAGACGTCCCTCCAATTGATCCATTCTTTGCCTTCTTCGTATTGCAGGCATTCTTGCTGATATTTTTCTCTGAACTTGGAGACAAAACCTTCTTCATTGCAGTAAGAAAGTAGTTGCATATAGTTTCCTGAAACTATTTAATCATTGAATCTTCATAAATTCTTTAGCTGTAGGGAAAAACATAAATATTTCCATTCTTATCACAACTGAGTTATATTCTGTGCACTCTAAAAATGATTGAGGAAACAAAAACTAGAGTGTTGAGGCTATTTTCTTCATTAAGTTTTGTCATCCTATATGGCCAACTCCTTGCACGATTTTTCAGCTAGGTTTATCATATTATGCTAAATGACATGATCTCTAGCTTCAATATCTTGATTGCTATTAATGGCTGGTCGTGTGCAGGCTCTTCTAGCTGCTAGAAACTCTGCTGCTGTCGTTTTTCTTGGGACTTTTGGTGCACTTGGGTATAAATTTACCTTAAGCTTTGTCAATCTGGATGGCATTTTTATTTTCAGCCTCGTTCAAAAGTATGAAACAGCTATACTGACTAAAAATAAGAAAAAGTGAAACAGATTAGCACACATAGGGTGCATGTTGATGACTCATACATTTTCAGCAAGAATATGGTATTATCACTTAACTTACAACAACGCTTAATCTTTGGATAGGGCAATGACTATCATTTCTGTTGTTATTGGGCGAACTTTCCATTATGTTGACGATATCCTCCCATTCAGGTCAGCTGACTATCCTCTTCTAAGAAATCATTCTATCTCGATATTTAATTTTCTATTCTTTTATCTGGCTTGCGCACAATTTCTTGATGTGGGTGGATCACAACTACATTAAGCAACTCATAATCAGTCACATTTGGAATAGATCATAAATAGCTTGTGTGCTTTCATTTTCAAGTTTGGAAAAAATAAAATATGTTTCTTTCATTCAATATAAATAATTAGCAACTTCAAGTTTATTGTCCATACCATAAAATAAATCAGCATACTTTCTGTTTTAGTCCCATAAAGTTGGTGACTGGTGGTTATCCAGGATTACATACTATTGTTTACCATAGCCAGTTGCATTCACAATCCTGCTAGATCACAACGATACTTTATTTTCTTAGGGTTGTTGCTTTTCGCAGCTGAAGGCATATCAACTAGCATGTCCAGATTTATGTTTACACTGCTTCATCTTAGTGCAGTTTCGGCGGAGCTGATTTGCCAATTGATGATATTGCTGCAGCTTTTCTTCTGGTAATCATTACTATTTGTACATCGATTGAAATTGAAAATGCACTCTTCTTCGTGGACTTTTAGAATATTCCTTTGATGGAATCAGGACCAGTTGTCTTGTATTACTTATTGATTGCAGATATATTTTGGAGTTTCAACATTGCTTGATGCATCCTCGGACGATGGTGGTAAAGCTGATGAAGAACAAAAGGAGGTAAATAGTTCTGTAATAAAACAACAACATGAATGTGGTTTAACTCAATTTAAATGAAATTGTTCATAAGCTTCGAACACTTAATGCAAGATATCAATTTACGGCCAGGGAGGCTGGTGTACAGAATATTTTGTGGCTGCTATTACGCGTTTAGTAACCATGTATAATTATAGGAAGCTGACTTATGCTGATACTCTGATACTAGAAATGTTCATTGCCAGCTTCCAAGATATCACTATCTGAATTCTGATATCTCTCTAAGGATAATGAGTCAGGTTGATGTGAAATTTGATAATTACATTTGCTCAGTGGTCAAATTTCCTTGTTAACTTTGGTACAATTCAACTTTACATGTCATACGTGGCAACTGATACCTGATAAGAAAAAATTAAGAGACTGATAACGACATTTTAATGACATGCGTTAAGAAATATAGTGCCAGTATCAATTTGATGGAACCAGTATTGTATCTACTACACCACATGCCAACAAGCTAACGCCTACTGTGTATCATTTATTCAAATGATGAACTGCTCCTTCCTCTTGCATGAAACTGACCTTTAATTTGCACTTTATATTACACATCAATAATCTTAGAATAAATAAACAAAATTTGACTAGAGTGAGATCTTGTTTCCTTCATTTGCTAAGAAATTCACAGAAACTTTTCGGTTTCAGTCCTGGTGAGTGATTTCTGCGAGATGAAAATCGCAGTTAGATTGCATTGTTTATGGTGTTAAATTAAGCACAAACTTGTTAGCCTAACGTCGTTCATTGTTTAACGAACAGGCAGAGCTAGCAGTTTCAGAATTTTCAGGGAATGGTGCTGGGATTTTGTCTGCTGCTAGCACAATTATCAGCACATTCGCTTTAGTTTTTCTCGCTGAATGGGGTGATAAATCATTTTTCTCCACAATTGGTAAGGAAAAAAGATATGCATGAGAAAGTCTTATTGGACGCCAAGCATCTCAAGATCTGTAGTTTTTGACAAAGCAAGACTAGGAAATAGTTGCATTGAAAGAGACAACTTCACTACTTGTTTGTGGTCCCGAATGAGACATTTTAGTGAGAAATTATTTAAGGGAAGACTTCAAGATCCTGAGCCCTTGATGCTTAAGTCAAAAAAGTAAAATCTAATTTAGAATCTAAACTCACATGATCTTTCTGAAAGATGAGACAACTGCAGTTTTGTTTACTTCTTAATACTGCTGTGTGTACGCCCAAATCAGCCAATTAGCCTAAATGTCAATTTAGAGAGACTCTAGTGCATTTTGTGTGCTTGCCAATATTGTCCTTTTGGCTAGTCATTGTTTCCATGATTAAATTGTCTCATAAAGTACTCCATATATCCTTTCAGCACTTGCAGCAGCCTCTTCGCCTCTTGGAGTTGTTGGAGGGGCACTAGCTGGTCATGGAGTGGCAACATTGGTAATTCAGATCTTTCAACCTTTAACTTTGCTCAATTCAAATAAACAACAAAAAGCATCCAAAAACTTCATTCTACCGAACCAAATCACAAATTTCATTCAATTTCGTGGTCAATGTTACATTGACGTAAACTCAAATTGAGAGAACTATTGATAGAGTAATAAGGAAAGGAATTTTGTATGGCTTTTGAATCCTTCTTCAACTGTAGACGGGGTAACTTCATTTACACTGATTAATAAGATGCATCTTTGGACATCTATGCTTAGATTTGAGACTTTTCGAGTAATTTTGTGCAACAAACTTATGGAACATGAACTGCTGACTTAAAATGCAGCTGGCCGTCCTGGGAGGCTCTTTGCTGGGAAATTTTCTGTCGGAGAAGGTAAAGCAAACAATTCATCAAGTACTCTTTTTAGTATTGAGCAAAAACATGGTTTACATGTGTTTCAAATTAACCGGAAAATGATCGATGAACGCCCGACGATAAGGAATCGCATGATCTGAAATATGGTATGGTGTGCAGGCTGTAGCTTATATTGGTGGCACTCTCTTCCTGGTCTTTGCAGCGGTAACATTGATTGAGATAGTAAATTAGAAGATCAAAATTAGGAACAACCACATTCTGTATTTGGATATGTAGATCTAACTATAATGCACTTTTATCCATTTCCTTCCAAATCCTGCTAAGAGTATTACATTCGATTACAGAAGAAATTGTGCATCACCTTAAATGGGGAAGGGCCCCCTTTCAAGGCCTCTTAAGGCAAAACTTGAAGGACACGATGATAAAGGCGATATGAAATTAACTTGAAAAATGACATTTTCACAATCAATTACACAAATATGATGGCGTTTATCTTTCATGTATTGAAAATTTAGTTCTACAAAAATGTGGTGATTTCGTCTCCAGAAAATGATAAAAAAGAACACTCTTAACACAAAAATTCCAAATTTTTAACCCCCCCGCGATTGCAATCCGTTCCGACTCTTATACTAATTTCATAACAATGGAGTATCAATGTGAATGAGTTGTATGGTACTACATCTCTATAGTGATAGTCCCAGCATTTGTGGACCGAACCTCGGAACCTGTGAAGTGTAAAGTGTAAACTTGGGGCGGTAGGTGATATGATCCTTATATAAACTCTAGTCCAAAGTCCAAAGAATACCATGCAATAGCTCCAACAACTAAAGTGGAATTAAATTCAAACCACAACTTTGATTCAATAACCTGAAAAATCTATCATTGAGGTAAAATTAAAGTCCTTCTATAATTATTATAACCCCAAAAAGAAAAAATTCATTCTATTTGTAACCATAGAAAATGGGATGTCGTTCTCGTCGGGAAATTTTGTTTTTAACATCATATTATATATCAACAAAATAAAGATTAAAAAAATGATAATAAAATGGTACACTTACAGAAAATCATTTCACAAATTAACATTTAAAGATGAATAAAATACCCCCAAGTCGCATTTGTGGTAAAAAAAAAAAAAAAAAAAAGAATCCCTTTTGTTTCTGACGTTGAGCCATTTATATGAGTGACAATTAGCCAAATTAGGTGTTGATACATTTTCATGAATCCAAGAAATTAAAGTGGGTATCATTAGAAGAATGTTCCATTCAATTGTTAATATCATTTCTGGCATGAGAAGTTGGAAAATTTGACACTTGTCATTCACAAAATTTTCATGAGTTTCTCACTCTCCATCAAAATCAAAATCGTGGAAAATGAGAAACCAAGTTGAACCATTAGAGTTGACGAAACAATAGTCTTAAGGTTGTGTTAGGTACCCCCCCCCCCAAAAAAAAAAAAAAAAAAAAAAAAGATTGTGGGTTACGCGGCAGAACTGAAAAACCAAAACGCGCGGCGAAAAGTTTGAAGTTATATGAACGAACAAACAACCTCTGTAGTCGTCGAAAAGCCGCACAAAACTGAGATCTTTTCGTAGTCGTTTTTTCCTTCTCTTTCTCTCTCTCTCTCTCTGTGTTTTTTTTTAGTGCCGCATCATCAATCATCAACACGGATCCCAACAACAAAATTTTATTTTTATTTTTTTGTTTTCTTTCCGAGCAGCTTCTGCACTCCGCATATAATATAGTATTATCAAAACACTATTCATTTACATTTTAATTAAGTTGATTTGGAGGCTAATTTATATAGTATTCCTTAACACGGTCTTACTTAGGGTGCATTGTGGCATACTGCACGGAACTGTCGAGTAGCTTGTGTTATTTTAGTCTCATCATCATCATCATATACATATAGTGTAGGCGTGTAATGTTTTTATCCAAAAAAAAAAAAAATGGAAAGTCATAACGTAATTAAACTACGTTGTGTTTTAGGAAGATTAATAATAGCAGCTGCAAGTGTTGCAGAGAGGTAATGGCCAACATTATTTCCACATTTTAAAAAAGATAATAAAACAATACGTTTAAGATGTGGACAATTCTATCATGAAAATAGAAAATATATGTGTCAAGTGTGTCGGCATATATTGTGGACAAAAGATGAGCAAGAGACGTACGTGTCACGTGAGTCTGCAAGAGCCGAATCTTGAAAATGGATATTCTCTCTCAAAAAAGAAATATATTGAATTGGGAAACTCCAAAATCTTCTCTATAAATAAAGAAGAGGGGAAAAAAGAAAAATAATAAAAAGTGTGTACCAACCAAAATCCCAGACCAATCTGGTCGGTTTGTTTGTCCCAGAATACCAATATAGGAATAACTCTCCTACGTAAAAGAAATATACTACTACTAGGTATTCCTACCTTTGTTACGAATACTTACTATATTAGAAAAATTAAAAAAAAACAATGTTCACGGAATAGTTTGGAAATTTCTCTTTCCAGTATTGACAGCTGTTTTTCCACTTAATTTCTCTCTTGTGACTTGTGAGTTAATGTGTACGAAATGTGATAATGATATGTGTGTGTGTGTGTGTGTGTGTGTGTGTGTTTTATGCATTAATAGGATATTTTGCAGTTACTTGAAGGAGAGCAGTAACACAAGTTTACATTTCTTTTTTTATCTTCAATCCTAAAAAATATATTAATCCTTTTATTTTCAATTAATAATCTTATTCGATGAAATAGAATTTTAAGAATGGATTACCTTTTCTTAGAGTTCACTATGAGAAACAACGAAAATGATAAACTTTTGGCTAATGAGCAAAACTAGGTAGAGAAGTGGCATTGTTCAATACAGGGAATTTACAATTGTGTATTAGAAATTGGTAAGATGTGATTAGAATTACGGAGGAAGAAATCAAGAGGGAAATCCAGATTTTCTTATAAAAAAGAACATGTTTTGTTAATTTGTGGCTTTGTCCACTCAACATCACAACTTTCTTACAGAATTGAAACAGCTCAAAGAGTCCATACCCACACCAAATAAATAAATAAATAAAAAAAATTGGTAGTTGCAATCAAGAATCGATTCGCCTTTGCAATTTTTCATTTTTTAAATAGATGATAAATTTGTTTATTAGTATATCTTACCAGCTAAAGATTAAAAAAATGACTGGCATGCATAGTCGAATTAATGTATCTTTCCTTTTTTTTTGGTCAATATTAACGACAGTGAATTGTGATTCTTTACATAATTGGACAGGAATATATTTCCTGTTGCCCTTTTCATCTCCTGAAAAATAAAAAATAATTAAAGATCATTTTTCAACAATAAAAAGGGAAAAGAAAAAGGAAAAAAAAAAAAGGACAGAAACCAGGCACCATATATCTTGATGATAAATTCTTCATTGGAACCTTAGACTTCAAGATAAATACCACTTTTGGAACTCTATCACCACCATTCTTTCTTTCAAGTTTCCTTTTTATACATAAAAATAAAACTTGGTACGATATCTTCAAGCTCTTTGAGTTTGTGTGCTTGGTTTAAAGCGCAATTTCTTTTCATTTGGAAAATTCAGTTGCTACAGATTGATGGACTGAAATGGGTATATTTTGAGATATAATGGTGCAATAATAATGTTTTTATAGTGTTGTCTTTGACAATTCAGAATGGTACATGATCCCCTGACTCATCTCTTCAAAACCAATGAACCTTATTCAAAGATGCCTCCAAATAATATTAGTGTTCCTTCTTTACGTACGTACTGGAGATTTTTTTTTTTTTTTTTTTTTGTACTGAAGGGTGCTTTTTTCAGAGAAAAAAAAATAGAAATTGTCGAATCACGTGTGTATTTAATTAACATTACTTTTCTCTCCATAATGAATGTGATCTTCTATCTTTTTTCTTTTTCATCATTCCCCTAACAATGAATTGAAATAATAAAAAAAAAATTCAGACTTTGTTCACACGAGACTACAAATGTGTAAAGAGTAAGGTTGGGTAATTAGCATTATTTATCTGGTTTTTTTTAAATTAGAAACACCTCTTATTTATAATATATACACACAAAGTTTATTATATTTTAATTAATAGTAGTATACTTTGTTAAACTAAAATAATACTACTAACTTGAACTTCTTAAAAAAGATAAAAGGAAAACACTAATTATACCCAGAAAAGAAAGAAAGCGAATGATTAAAGATATACTCCGTACTCCATATCTAGGGGAACTTTAATTTGACAGTAACAGGGTTAATCATATGTATTATTAAGGTCTAAAAAAAAACACATAACCAGGAGGAGTACATGTCCTCAACTAAAAGTGATCCAGATGGTCCATAAATTCTGCCTCAAATTATGAAATAATATGCATTGAAATGTAAATATTGTGACTGTTTCGTAGCAGTTTCTGGTAATATAATTTTAAAAAAGTTAACCATAACGAATAAATTATTTATTTAGTTTATATACTCCATTTATTTATATTAAGGTAAAAACAAAGTCATAAAAATCAATAAATTTTTCTGTGAGTCATGAAATATCATACTGTCCCTGATCAAACAAAATACTCATGAACTCGCAATTGTGTTTTTGTAAATACTAGTACCGGAACGGAAAGTACAAAAGATGACTAAAAGAGGAATTTCACTGAAACACCTTGCAGGGCACGTGCAGGCATAGATTTATTATTTCTGGTCAAAGACTCCTTTCAGAATGACGAAGAAAACCAGGGTAGTGGGACCCCCGCACCGTGGCCCACCCATCCGAAGCACAACGAACGGTGACGAGCCGCTGCCGACTCATCAGAAATAAATGACGGGTCCTCTCCCATTGGTCATTTTTTTTTCCAGAAAAAAAGTTGAAGACAATAATTAATTACTAGTCTAGTAGTATTTACTTTCTATATTTTCACATTTGCACTTCCCATTTTTAAAGAGTAATTTTTTTTATGTTAAAAAAAGAAAACATAAGCAAGAGTTTCAAACAATTTTACATAAGTATATGTTTCTAGTCTATTTCATAGTTCGAAATTTGCTTCAACTTTGTTGGAAACACTTCTACTTTCATAATAGGAGTAGTATATGAAATATCCTATTGGCGGCGCCGCGGCGGCAAAATCTTGTACAAAGGGCCGCAAAGGATGCGGCGCCCATTGCTTCACAACGTTAAATTAATGCGTTTTATTAAGATCATTTTGACCATCCACTTGCTTATATATTCGTTTATTGATATAACAGCGGTTTATTGTTCATAATAATGAATACTCCTTCTATCTCAAAAAAAAAAATTAATAATAATTTATATTGAGATTTTAAATTTATATTAAAAATAATACAAATTTTAAATTTCAATGTGAACTATTTTTTTTAATAGAGGGTAGACATTTCGGTGAGTGAAATCACTCATCAAATGATTTAGGACTGTTTTACATTCATTA